ATTGATGAAGGTATACTTGCATTTTGTGTTTCATTCTTCAAGTATATTTTTGGAACTGGTGAAATGAAGGAATTACTCTGTTGGATCATTAATAAATGTGATACATGCTGCACCCTTTGTATATGTTATTCTGCCCACAACCTCTCTTTGCATGAGGCAAGAGGTGGTATTTAGTGCAGACTGCAGAGTGGTTCCACCTGAAGGCAGAATAAACCTTTCGTTGTAATTTGGATACCGTTTAAACCAGTCTTTCCATATTTGTGAAGTGGTCAGTAGAAAGTTCATCTTTAGTAGAACTTGGATGGGTGTGCCTTCTTTGGTACTTATTTTTTCTGCAGATAATGAATGTATACCAGCAAGCTATTCTTTTCCAAATCGTACTTCTCGATTGTTGAAGACAAGAAGTACTATTGTTAATGTCATCTTGAGTGGTAGATGGATAGGGGAGTGTATGCCCGTGTTTGAGGGATCACCTTTTTGTTGAATTAATTAGATACAGTTGTACAAGAATTGCACCTGAAAAGTAGACGAGAAGTATCAGAAACACAGTTACAGTGATTAAATCCAAGGATGCTGGTCTGGTGTCTGTGAAGGATGATTATGCTAATGTCTCTTGTATTACTGGGTAATGTTTATTTGGCTCCTACAGAGATGGTAAATAGCCTAAGAAAGTTTTTATTACCTTGCGAAGATATATGGGCTGAAGTGGAAGAGATGAAGTGGAATCAGCTGCTTCTCTTTCAATATCTGTTACTTTTTCAAATACACCAGCTTTTTATGCGTCAGTCTGCTGTTATTTTCAATTGACAAGTCTTTTCCTTTTACACTTAAGCCATTCACTAAGTATATTATTACTCAATACTAATTCTTTACTCTCTGTCCAGATGGCTGTTATACCACGCACTTCCCAGGGACATGGATGGCTGAGACCTGCAATTGGGGTTGTTGAGCTTTCTCAATGTATTATTCAGGTATTGGTTTTGGATAATTGAAGCCTCGAAAAACCTTTACAAATATCACAGACAAAAAGGTCAATAATCTATGTGTCATTTAGTTATTAGTAGATTTTAATGGTTTTCCAATAGTGATTTTAGTTCTTTTATGTCTGGTATTCGTGAAAACCAGAACTTGTCAGTGCCTGCTCTATCTCGACATAACTGTTCTCCACCCCTTTTGAATATTTTAACATACCTGGTTGCATAATTGCTTTCTTAGTTTCCTGTCATAAGTAAATATTGACAGTTGTATCTAGTCCCAACCAGAGTTCAATTTGACTGTCCCTATTGTGTTTCTTCTGTTTTATGCTCATTCAGCTTTCAAGTAGTTAGGTTTTGGATTCTAGTCAGACATGACTCGAGAAACCTGTTATTTTGCGTCTTTTCACTTCTGTTCGAAAACCTGATCCCTTTTTCGTTTCGCTGTTATGTTGCAAAGAATCACGAATGATTTGTATTCTCTTTTGTTCTTATCTCTGATAATTATTGCCATATGATGCTAACATGCTTTGGATAAGTTGACATGCTTTCTTATATTCTGCTGATAACTGATGATTGACAAATGATTCTTTGCTTACCTGCAACGCAGGCTGTGCCTCTCAGTGCAAGGAAGTCAACAGGTGGATCCACAGAAGGGATTGCACCTTTTTTGCAGCTGCCACATTTTGGCGAGTCTTTTATCAAGAAGATAGCACGCAAGGTAGATGGACAAAATTATATATTGTATTTAGAATACAATGATTTAATGAGCCTTTTGCTAGCTGTGAATGTGAACCACACTTTGTTCTCATGCTTTTCTTGCTGCCCAAGTGTCTTTCAGAAACTATAGAAATATACTGCCTCTGAAGCATCAGTTCCTTCATACTCTTATCTGTTTCTGTCTGTGTGTGTGGTTAGCATATAATTGGATTTAAATAACAGGTATATGCTTATGCTACAGTGGCATCATGCTTGGTTTCTTTGGTCAACCTCATTTCTCTATGGTCCAAATGAAGAATTTTCTCTCTTTAAATTGAAAATTATTTTCTATTTTCTTCAGTTTTTGGTGTCCTGATTTCTGATCTTGCTCTCATGAGTTTTGATCTCTGATTGCAGAAGGTGAGAACATTTGAGGATTTTCGTGACATGACCATGCAAGAACGTGCAGATCTGCTTGAGCAAGTAGCTGGATTTTCTTCAGCTGAAGTACAAGATGTTGAGATGGTATTGGAAATGATGCCTTCTGTAACAATTGAGGTTAGATGTGAGACTGAAGGTGAAGAGGGCATACAAGAGGGTGACATTGTCACCTTACAAGCTTGGATAACACTCAAACGTGCTAATGGTCTAATTGGTGCACTTCCCCATGCACCCAACTTCCCATTTCACAAGGAAGAAAACTTCTGGTTTCTGCTTGCAGACCCTGTCTCAAATAATGTTTGGTTTTCCCAGAAGGTAAATTTTCTGGATGAAGCTGCAGCCATAACCGGTGCTTCGAAGGCAATTGAGGATACTATGGAGGGTTCAGGAGCAAGTGTTAGAGAGACTAATGCAGCAGTTAGAGAAGCAGTAGCAAAGGTGCGGAGTGGATCTAGGTTAGTGATGGGCAAGTTCCCTGCCCCATCAGAGGGGAATTACAATTTGACATGTTACTGCTTGTGTGATTCTTGGATCGGCTGTGACAAGAAAACGAACTTGAAGGTTAAAATTCTGAAACGAACACGGGCTGGCACTCGGGGTGGCTTGGTATCTGAAGAAGGACCCATTGCAGAGGACGGAATTGAAGAGGAAGAGGAGAATGAAGAAGAAGACTACGACGATGATTACGAGAGTGAGTATAGTGAAGATGAGGAAGACAAAAAGGATACGAAAAAGAAAGGCCCCACTGCCAATGGCAAAGTGCATAAAAAAGGCTCAAGCTCAGATGGTTCAGGGACAGATGAGGAATGAAATACATTATTTTGATTGTCAATGAATAAAAGATAAGCTTCTTTTTTTTTTTTCGGCTTTTAAATTATACTTTGTGGAAGAACTTAGCGGCTAATGTAGTTATAGCATCTGGCTCCCATCTAACTTGGTGACAGGATGTTTACATATTTTTGATAGCATACACTGATTCATTCGACTCATTTCAGAACGTTTTAGTTTCTACTGCTTTCGTTTTAGCTCCGCTAGTCACCATGTTTGTATTTTACCATACTTCCAAATGGTCGTTATTTTAACGGATTCAGATATCTGCTTTTGTTATACAGCATTATAGAGGCCAACTATGTTTATTCGAATAAACATTGTTGGCCTCTATAATGCTGTATAACAAAAGCAGATATTGCCGAATCCGTTAAAATAACGACCATTTGGAAGTATGGTAAAATACAAACATGGTGACTAGCGGAGCTAAACGAAAGCGTAGAAACTAAAACGTTCTGAAATGAGTCGAATGAATCAGTGTATGCTATCAAAAACTGTTATTACAGCTGCATTTGTGATTTAAAATTATTATCATTCTAGCAAAATACACCTTTAGATTGTGCCATTTTCTATTGTGTTGCATAGTTTTAAATCACGGATGATTGAAAAAATAGTCACGGTTGCTATCGCAAATCGTAACGTACTATAATATTAAAATAACAGTAATTGAAATAACGGTAATTGGATATAGCAAAATTGTTATATAATTGTTGGTATGTAATGTAACGGTAGTTATTTAAAACTATTTGGGGGTTTTATTTTCTTATATATAAAAAGATAAGTTTATTGGCTTAGGGTATAGATTTATTATTATTTCTTATCTTTTACACATTATATGTTAGGATCTAAAATTGGATTTGATCTAATACTAAGTTTTGGGCTATTCAAAGCATCGTGAGGATCCAACCTTGCAAGAAAATCTTCTATTTTAGGGATGAGGAAGATATGGGACAATTGGAGGTGGTAATGTATAGCTGATTGCTCAACTCCACTTCGGGAATATCAGCGTTCTCTTCTCTATTCCCCTCTCTCCTGGGCTTGCAAGTTTTGAACCCCAAGTAATGGCAATGGTAGCTATTAAAAGTTAAAACTAATCCCTAGCCAATATTTGGCAAGAACAAGGCCAGGGAACAATTTCTCGGCATTTGGACCATTGGAAAGATACTTGTATTAGGTGAGGAAACGAAGATCTAAGGGTGGAGTGCATAATTTTAAATAACAGTCGTTACGTTATATAAGAATTGTTATATTACAGTTTTGAAGTATTTTGTTATTGTTATTATAATATTATAGTAAGCAACGATTCACAATAACGATCACGATCTTTTTTTCAATCGTTTGCGATTTAAAACTACAGAGGAATGCCTTTTTCAATGCCTCAAAATATGTGGAAATGGCAAACAATATTGTTTCCCTGCCTGTTTTTTTCATGCCTTGGGTTTTTAAAGGCATGTAAGAATTTACCAATTGGATTATAAAAAATGTGTTCACTTCTCCAATATGGGAAATTAATGCTTGAAATTGACTCTTTCTTCTTATTATTACTCTTTTGTTAATCTTGCAGTATGAATTAATTGGTTGCATAAAGAACCAAACGGCTTCCAGAGAGCACCATGGTAGTAGTATTAAACAAGCAAGAAAACAAAACAAGGAAGACAGAAGAAAGGGGGCAAGTAGATATCAGTTTCCTCTGCAATTTACATACTATTTATGCAACTGGAAAAAATGGCACTAGACTCGATTCTGTTTTGAAGTTGCTTCCATATTTTGTTGTGTTTAAACTACTTTCATCTCTCTATCACTACTTCCTCTGTTTTTCATGTTCCTAAAGTTAACTTCTGAAATAGAAAGTAGGTTCCACATTGGCCATTCTGATTGATCCATTCAAGAAACACACTTGCAATGGTATATGCATGTCAGGCTCTCGAATTGCAACCAGCCACGAACGGCTATTTGATGGGCACGAACATGTTTCTTGGATTATGGCCCAGTAGTGCTCAAGGAGCACTTCCATCTGTTTTTTTTCAGTATCACAAAGGTCAGATGTTCAAACGAGTCTTAACTGGAATTGCTAACACCCAAAGGCTTATTATGCTCCAGGTGTAATGAATCCTGATTTTGAATGTCCAAGTGAGATGAATTGTTAGCTTCAATACCAATTTCATTTGAACTCGTATTGGCTTCCTCACTGACTTCATTCACACCACGGCCACTCTCCAGATCCGCACCTGCAACAATGTTACGGCCTACTTCATTCACATCACGGGAAGCCTCCTCATCCTCACTTGCAACATTGTTAACGCCATCAAATTCATCGTTGCGGGAAGCCTCCTCATTCCCACTTGCATCATTGTTAAAGCCATCACGTTCATCATCATGGGAAGCCTCCTCATCCCCACTCGCAACACTGTTAACACTATCCAATTCATTGCCAGGCTTAGCTCGAATCCTAATACGCTTCCCTTTGATATATCGGTAAACCCATTTTGGTGGTGGATATTTTTTCTTTAATTTTTCGTATTTGTCCATCATACCCAACCTCTGGAAGACACTTCCCACCATGTTAACAATTGAAACACTTGGCCGGAGACCAAGCTCCTCCATATCAGCAAATATCTGCGAGAACGAGAGATCATATTAATAGAAACAAGGTAGGCCAGACATCCAATAAGAACTGCTGTCTGGTTACTGCCATATGACGTTGCTTTCAAGTGACAGAGATATTGATCATCCAAATTGTATTTGAAGTAATTAAAAGATCATGTTGATTGGAAATTCTAATTGAAGCAATAAGGAGAAGAAGACATAAATTGTGCGATTAACTCAAATATTACATTGAAAAATTACTGCTAATCTGGTGTCCCACAAGAAAGGATTGTACAAGTCATTAGCATAGAATGTGGCATAACGTGGCAAACTAACACATAATTACCTTACATTCACCAAAATCATCCAATTATCAACCTTTGAGACCTATAGGATACAAGAATATATCCATAGATACCAGTAAGCTACTAAATTCAATCACAAGAAGTCAATATGCTTGTATTGCAATAGTTCAATTTATCTCCAAAACTGTGGCATCAGTACTATAACATAACTGGATTAGGTCGCAGGAAATAGGTCCGAATTATAAGATTAGATTCTTGTCAATCTGTAGAATCTTCAGGCAAACACTATGTGGAAGTACATAAGCAAATACTGGTGTTATGAATAAATTTAATTATGATCTGATTAATGGATAGTCTCACTGTACAAAAGGACATATGACGCCCATGGGATATAATAGAATCATCTCCAATGTCTTCACTGTAACGGAATATGACGCCTAGAGACTTTCTGCTTTATTAAACCTAGTCATCAAGTCTACAAAAACAATGTAAAAGTTGCAGGAAAAAAGAGAGATGGCATGCTACAATACCTCCAATATCTGGTCATACATGTCCCTTTTGTAATATATAGAAATCATTTTATCGAACATCATTCGAGGCATGCTTTCCAAGAACTGGGAAAATAATTTTGTCCAAAGCTCTTCAACTTCATCAAGTCTTCCATCCTCAGCTAATGCATTCATTAATGTGAAATACGTTCCCATTGTCCTTCCTTGCCCTTTGCTTAACATCCACTTTGTGACCTACAATCCAATATTTTTTTTTAGCTGATTCACCGAGACACTCATTCCTGTAGATATCCACAGAAAAAAATGAGAGCGAGAAGACAGAAACATTTGGTTCCCAATACCTGAATTATCCTCTTCCATTCCTGTTGCTCCTCCAGAGTCCTTAATGCTTTCTTCACTGAAATTAGAGGGAACTCCAATTCCCAAGCAACAAAGGAATCAAGAGCCCCGTACACTTCCTCCTTGACATTAGACAATCCCTTTATCTACATAACCACAACCCAAAATCAATTAGCATCTCAAGATTGCAAAACATAATCCCATTCCACTCGTTCCTAAGTTCTTCAAACTACATTCTAACATGTTTCACAACCATGAAAATAATGCCAGAAATTCCTAATCCAAGCCAAAAAAAGAGATTTTGACACAAATCAAACAAAAAGAAAAGAGGCCCAAAGAAAAGACTTACACAATCAACAAGTTTTGCTGATTTGGAGATAGTCCCAATTCTCTTATTTGTTTTCCACACTCGTGGATATCTTGGTCGTGGACCTTTAGCAGCACAAACCTATAAAATTCACTAACAAATCCTAATAAGCACAAAATAAAACCAAAAGAAAACCACCACGTCCCATTATAAATAATTCAGTTTAAAGAAGAAAGAAAAAGCTTTACCACAACACAGTTTATGGTAGTCCTGGATATATTACTGGAATGCAATCGATTTGGAATTAGTGGCAACGGATATCTTAAACAAAGCATCCTGCTTTAAACAACAAAAAATGAACTGATTAGCTTATAACACAACTAGTTCTTCCAAATCCAGAAACCATTTTTTTCTCTATTTAAGGTTTATGAAATAAATTTCTGAAATTTCTAACAAATATTACACTAAACAAAGCATCCAACAAAAACAAAAAGTAAATCAAACAAGAAAAACTAAGCTCATTAGCTTATACCAACAGAAGTTCTCTCAACCCCAGAAACCATTTTTGTTCTATTTAACGCTTATGTAGTAAAGTTCTGAAATTTCTAACACAAACTTAATGAAACAAAATCATCAGCACGGTAAAAAATGTAATGTATATGTTTCTCTCTAACATTTTAGACTTTCTCCGCAAACAAAAAGTACAATCACAGAGAGAGAGAGTGAGTTACCGGGCAGCAGTTGAAGAAGGAGAAGCAGTAATGGAGATAGACTGTCAGACTCGAAATTTTGTTATCTTGCTTTTCTTTTCTTTTCCCTCTTATTTTCTCGCGTTTTCTCTCTTCTAGCAGCCAAACAAAAGATAGATGTACAGATGGATAGATATTTTATTATTTGCAGCATGAAACGGTGCGTTCCATATAGAGAAAGTATTACCCTACAACCCGCTGTAGTGCTTCCTCCTTGCTCTTCAGGCAGCAAAAATTATTTGCCATTATTGAATTTTATTAGCCCTAATTTTGTGGTCCTAGTATGAATGATTTGGTCCAAAATTAAGGCTAACAAAATTCAAAATTACTGTAGGGTGGGATGAGGCGGACAAATATCATTCCTGTCTCACTTTCGTTCCAAATTACTGCGGGACGTTTCATTCTTCAATCAACTCAAAGAATCTACGCATTAATCTAAATGGGATCTCATTGGGACGAGATAAATTATCATCCTATATTTAGACAATTAATTAATCATCAAATCAAATTAATTAAAGTAATGTTTTGGAATCTTGCAAACCTAGTTGTATAGTAAGTGAAATTATGAAGATAAATATACTTGTTTTTTACATTATTATTCAAGATTCAAACCCTAAAAAAATGTAAAAAAATATAACTTTTTTATAAATACAACTATCTATGTATTTTTAAAATCCAATTGGAAAGAATTTAGTATTAATGTGCAAGAAAATAACGCAAAAATACCATCTATTTGTATTAATATACACAAACTCATTCTAATACAAAAAAATACATGTAGAAGGACAATTTTGTATTTTTATCCAAATTATGTAACATGTGTCCAATAGAAGGAAATGCAAGGATGTGAGCATTTGCAGAGAATCTCAACGTAGATGCCTAATCCAGTCATCCTCAAAGCAGCTACCTCTTCCTTACACAGATATTTCCAAGCTAAGCTAAGCTCCCTAATCTTGAAAAAACAGTGAGCAAACAGAAGCAATGATCATGGCCATGGCAATGATGACTGAAACCACCCCAGCCGTCCGATTCCCTCCCTCCACCACTCCTGCTGCAAATTTCTGCTGCTCCTTGCCCCGCAGCAGCTCTGCCATTTCTTGGTAACTGAAAGCCAAAATTTAAGAGCTTTTTTCTTCTTTTTGAGAGTTTAAAATGTGAATGCTATAGCAACATGAATCGCATCATTGCTACTCTAGTCTGTGTTCTTGTACATGCAATTTCTAATAGCTTCATTTCTTAGTTTTGGTTCCATTTTGTACGGCAAAGCAAGAGTTTTTATAGAAATGCAATCTCTGATCAGTGTTATGGCAATGGTTTAGATGCCCTTTTGTTCTTTCTGCTTTTTTAGAGATTTTAATGCGTTTGCCAAATAACTTATACTGCTCTCTGCCATCTTTATTGGGTAGTGTTTTTGTTTCTAGTCTATGGTTTGCTGCACTCGCTACTGTCAAGATTAAAGTTTTTTTCTGCTACGTTTCAAGATAATGAAAGTGGTTGTAGTAGGATTAGCGGAAATGCACCTTTTTTTTACCACCTTCTTGGGTTCTTGATTTGAGTTAAATTGAGAGTTTGGGGTAGAAATTCATCTTAAAAAAAAAAAATAATAATAATAATAAATAAATAAAATTTGATGAACCTGGTTCGGAATTGGTTTGAGCTTAGCTTAGACATGGCTGTGTAAAGAAAGGAAATCAAAGGTGGGAATTTTTTATGCTTAAGTTAGTATCTTTGCAGGCTATAACGGTGGGAAATGATATAAAGTGAAGGAACTTTGGGTGTGTTGACGGAGGTTATACAGCTTAAGATGACTTTAGAAGGTGTGAATTGTTGTCCTTTTGTTGGAATTTTTAGGAGTGAGTTCTGGTCATGGAGTGGCTGATTGACAGTTTATAGAGTAGTTAGAGGTAGTATGATCTGATGAATTAGTCTAATCAAGGCATGAACCCAACGGTCTTCATATGTTATAGAGATCTCAGCTCCATAAGGAGTAGAATTTATTTGAACCTGGTGTCAGTCAATTCACATCATAATACAATTTGCTCAGCATTGTGGTTTGGTTGCATATCAGAAAGCATGCTATGTAGAGGTGATTTCTCTCAAGTATTAGTATTTAAACTTGAAAGGTAAAGAGTGTCAAAAGAAACACTACATTTTCATCGTTATAAATTAGATATAACATCAACTACCTTCTGATTTACAAGCTCAAGTAGCGTTATAATGACAAAAGATCAGAATTCTTAAGTCCTGCATTGCCATTTTCTATCATAAAAGTGAGAATTTAAGATATATTTCTCTGGAAATAGAAAATGTTGTTTTTGCTTGCATATGGTTAATAGTTTTGTTCGTATTTCATCAAATTCTTTATAACCTTGTATAAGCAGTTGCAGATATTAAGGACAATTAGTTATTGGTATCAATGCAGGAATAAATTCCAAAGACTGAATGGTGGTTCTTTCTTAAGAAGGAGCAGTCATTTAAAGAGTAAGACTCAAGCGTCTGCAGAGAGTTTAGATTCAAATTTGGATTCCTCAAAGCAGAATGGTAGACTGCAATACCATCCGTCCGAAGAGATTGCTGAGTCAACATCAGAAACAAGCATTGATGCTATTCTTACACCTCAAGAAACCTCTAGGACTATCGTTGAGGTATAATTTTAAAATTTTCTAGCTATTACTTCGATGAAGAATGACTTCTGCTGCTCCTAGTGCGCTTTTATGATATGGGAATAACACATCAATGGTAAGCATTGTAACAATATACTTGAGTAAATGAACCTGCACATATGAACTACATCTGAACCATCTGGCTTGAGCTCGCTGTGGAACCTCTGTAATCTATATACATGAACGCTGCATATTGATCTTGAATAGAAAATCTGCAAATTTGTAGTCTCATAATTGATGCCAAAGCAATGCTGATAGTGCTGATAATCGGTAAACTTTTCAATATCGGCCATCAAAGAAGGTTTACTTTGACACTGGCATAATAATTATGACAGGTTAACTTGGGAAAGTTATTATCTTGATTGCCTTCTGAACGTGTTTAATATTTCTACATCTTTGCATCGAGCAATAATTGTTCACATAAAGCAAATTTCTAAGAGTAGTACGACCTGCTTAAACAAATAGCAGACTAGGAGACTGAGTTGGAAAGGAAGAAAAGACTGACATCAAGTATGGGTTTTATGCCAAAGCATTATATACTTGCTATGAATCCAGAGTGGATGAAATGCATTCAGTTGTCATAAACTCAAGCCATTAAGACTCTCATCATATGATAATTCTTCATGTATGTTGATCATTATCTTATGCCAGTTTGCAGAGCTAATGTTGCCTGTAGTGTATTATGTCAGGTGAAAAGCAAAGCAACACTAATGTTGACTGGTATGATCGATGATGATATTCATGAGAACATTATCTGGCCAGACTTGTCTTATGTGACTGATGAACATGGGAGTAAGTTGAGCCCTTGAAATTCGTTACTGTCTTGCACGCTTATTTTTACCTGGGGGCAGAAGTGTTGTTGCATATTGAAGTATTAATCTGTCTGATGTCTTGCAGATATATACTTTCAAGTGAAGAATGATGAAGACATTTTGCAAACACTTACTTCAGAAAATAATTTTGTGGTATGGAATGTCTTTTTTGGTTGGATATCCTGTGAATTGCATTATCTCAAGTTTATGCTAAGATTATGAAGGAGACTTTTTGTTTTGGATAAAATGTGGCATATTTCTATAGCTTGGCCTTGCAACTTTTCAAGAGACAGTGGGTGGAATATTAAAAATAGTGTTAGTTTATTGCATTGACGTGCCAAGTTGGTGTTCAGATTATGAAGAAAACCTTATCTTTTGATTTTGAAAACAAAGTGGCATTTTCTCAAATACTATTTGGCCTTGTAAATTTTGTAAGAGACAATTCAAAGAAGAGAATGCATGCTATTAGAGGTGAAAAGAAGAAGGCAATGATAAGTACTTGGACAGATTGCTTGTTTAATAAATGGGGGATTCAAATGCCCCTTATTTTCTTGTGAGCTTCTTGAGTTACAAGTGTTTGTGCAAAATGCAGCAAGCCATTATAGGTTTTGATGCCATGGAAATGCTCAGTGAGATGGAGTCATTGGGTACGTCAGAAATTGATTTTGGAGTTGAGGAAATTGAAGATGAAGATAGTGATGTTGAAGATGGGGACGATGAGGATGATGATGATGATGATTATGATGAGGTTTGGTTTTTCTTTTCTTTTCAGTCCATTCTTGCTGTTGGGTTTTAGCTTTAAAATGCGGAAGTATTTGAACTACGTTTTCCACGGGCATTTCTCTATCTTGTTTGTAGGACTTGGTGGCTGTTCTTGATGATGAGGACGAGGAAGATGATTCTGATGAGACACCTGGAGACTGGGCAAAATTAGAGACTATGCGTTCTTCTCATCCAATGTATTTTGCCAAGAAGCTGGCTCAGGTATTTGTCCATTGCAAAATTTTAACCTAAAGCACTTTTAGGAAGAAGATATAAATTCCATTTGTTTTGTATCGGTGTAAAAATGAAGAAATGGTTGCTTTCTAACTTGCAAAGTCTATTAATTAATTGTCAACATTATGAAATAGTGGATTTGCCATCGTTTTAGCTGAGTTCTTATCTTTCTATGTTATTTCATATGTGTTGCATAGGTTGCTTCAGATGATCCTATAGATTGGATGGAGCAGCCTCCTGCTGGTCTAGCTATCCAGGGCCTTATTAGACCTGCCTTCATAGAAGAACACTCTGACATCCAGAGGCATTTGTCTGGCAATCAGTCTCCTCATGCTGATATAAATCAGGTTGGACGAGGCGTAGAAGGCAAATTAGAAGAACCTGGTGTGATAAATGATCATGAACTTAAATCAGGATCATCTGAAGATAGTTCAATGCGGGAAGAGGAATTGGAGAAGGATGAGGTCCCAAGAAGTGGAACTTCATTTTACAAGCTGGAGATTATTAAAATTCAGCTGATTTCGGCTCATGGACACCAAGTATGCCCTCATAGTTCTTATCTTTATTTGAACATTCATTGGTTGCATATAAATTTCTATTTTATAATGGAATATGCAGTACTTTTCAGAGACTCTTGCCCCTTGGTTCCGATTCTGACTTCATTCTCATTGAAACAATGGGGTTGCTGTTGTAAGCTTTAGTACTTCTGATTATATTAAAATAATTGTGTCAAGTTTTGTCAATCACCATACAAGATGTATTATGTTGCAATTAACATCACTTCTACAATCACATTTTGATAAAAGTGCCTCCTGTACTCTGTTGTTTCTTTTAGTATTACTATTTACCATAGTCCATAAACTTAGTTACGAACATTTTGATGACTGAAGAAATTTATTGTTTAATTTGGAACCCAGTCATAGAGAGTTCCATTTTATTTCCTTTGCAACAAGTTAAATGCTTACAATTCAGATATTAGCGGTGGATAATCAGAGTCAGTGAAATGACAATTTTCCTGAATTATTTCTTCTTTTTTTTTTTTTTTTTTTTTTTTTTCCCTGTTTTTGCACCTTATGAATTATCAAATCATATGCTGTTGGGTGTACATGCACAAGAGACTAATTCTTCTTCTCTTGTCCTGTAAAGACTACGGTCGAAGTAGAAGACTTCAGGAAAGCAAAACCTGATGCAATTGCACTTTCGGCAGCCAAAATCATATCTCGTATGAAAGCTGGTGGAGAAAAGATTACACAGGCCTTTAAATCTCTGTGCTGGAGATGCAAGGGTATTCAAGTGGAGGTAACACATAAATATGCTCATCTTAATAGTGAAAACCACACCCTGTGTGGGAAATTTTGTCATCTAACTGCAAGTTCATACTAGTTTGTTGAACTAGTGCCTTTCTTACTCCTGCTTTGAATGTTTATTCAGGCAATCTATTGTTAAACATAACCATGCATTTTCGTGCTTTTAGATTTTGATACTTGGTTCTTGATACATGACTTAGATTACCTGTAGAATGAAACACTAATCCAGTTTGCTGTTGCTTGTTTGCAGTTTATGGATAATTACTTTTCTTTTCTTGTTATATTGTAGGAGGCAGCAATGAATGAAGTGGATTCGCTCGGATTCGATTTGAGGGTTTGTTCTGGAACACAAATCCAAACGTTGCGGTTTGCATTCAATTCACGGGTATGTGCTTCTTTAAGCAATTACCAGTACCTGTTAATCAGCTGCATTTACCAATTAGTTTGTTTTTCAGTCATGCAATTGTTTCTGGTTTACTTCAAATCGGCCTTCCATTACTTATGACTTCTCCTTTCTCTCAACTCCATTTTTGCAGGCCACTTCAGAATATAGTGCTGAACGACAACTAAATGACTTACTATTCCCAAGGATCCAAAGCAGGCTGTTGAAAAAGAAACAGACTCATCAGAATGAACAATAACATAATAACATTGTCAAATGCCATAATCCATTTAATTCTGGATGGCTTTTTGTATCCTTAGATGTCGAGAATCCAATGTGACCAGTTGTAAAAAAACGATGCAGCTTGTATTCTTATGTATTATTCAATTGTTGTAATGCCATTGAGAAAGCATTTTTCCAAGCTGCGTGAAAGAAAATTCTTGTAGTTTGTATTCTTATGAATTCTTTCCCTTTTTCAATGCTAGTAATGATCATTGAGAAATCCATTTCCCCCAAGCTCCTTTCCGCTATGTTAATACTCGACTCCATTACTGTCTTTGAAAGAAATTCCACTCTTAAATCCCAAAACTAGTTGGAACGCAAGCAACTTTTGTGAGGTGAACGCAGAGAGACAAGTTGGTGAATGCATGTACTCAGCTGTTCTTTGAGACAGTGACTTAGTTTGATTGTTTGAATCCTTGGGATCCATCATACATCACAAGCAAAAAGTGAATAGCTTGTGGATTTCAAGCAACATCTCAAGTGTTGAAACATTTGAACAATCATTTCAAGAATGAAAAGGATCATTACAGAAAACATGTGTACATGGCAACAAGAAACATACATTTCCATCCATTTTTCAAGATTTTAAAGCATTGACTATCACTTTATTTCTACTAAAAGTTCATTCTATAGATCTCACTACTTATCCTTCATGTGACTCTCATACACGAACTGTGCAGCAAGCAAATCCACAACTGCAGAACCAACAGACTTAAACACAGTAATCTCTTCAGAATTCTTCCGGCCAACTTTCTTCCCTTTGATCAACTCCACCAAAAAAACCACATCCTCTTTCTTAATCACCCCTCTCTCAAGGGCCCCCACAAGCTCCCCTGCCTCCACCAATGCAGCCTCGTTATCAGCAAACACTCTTCCTCTCTTTATTGCCTCATCATCACATTCTTTCATTGTCTCCTTGAAAGATCCCACCAAATCCAAATGGGCTCCTTGCTTTAGTTTCTCACCCTTCACCAAGGGTGCATCAGCATTTGTAGCACAACTCACAATATCACCCAATCCAATAATTTCCTCCAAATTCTCATTACTCTCAAAACAAACCCCATCATTTCCAACCCATTCTTTCTTCAATTTCTCAACCAAGTCTGCAGCTTTCTTTATTGTTCTGTTCCAAATTATCACTTTCTGCAAACTGGGTCTTGCAGCAAGATGAGCCTTGATCAAATGGGGTGCCAAAGCACCTGCACCAATCATCACAAGAACTTTGCTATCGTTCCTGGCCAATATTTTTGATGCTAGCCCAGAAACACAAGAAGTTCTATAAAGGGTCAAAACAGTGCCATTCATCGAGGCCAAAGTCTGGCCAGTTGCAGAGCTAAAAAGCACATAACTTGCATGAATTCCAGGCAAATTTAGTGCCGAGTTTTGAGGGAAGTAGGTGACAAGCTTGACACCTATATAAGGAAGGGAAGGGGTAGAGGACCAAGAGGGCATCAAAAGGAGAGATGATGATTGCGAAAGGTCATAGCTTTGACGGATTGGAGTGTGCAGTGTGGATGTGGTAGTGGGGAGAGATGTGTGGAAGTGTTGGATTAAGGATTTGTGTGTGAGGATTGAGTGTAGAGATTCATTGGCAAGGAATATAGGTGATGTGGTACTGGTGGCGGAGGCAGTGGCGGTGGAGCTGGGTGTGTTTGGTGTTGAAGCCATGGAACTGAGAGCTATAGATTGTTTGGTGTGGAAGAGAGGAGAAGGTGGAAATTTGGGAAATCAGAAGTGAGGGATAACAAAGAAAAAGACCCAGACTTCCGTTAAGGATTAGGTATGTGTTTTTTGACCGAAGAAAACTGCAAACTTAGTTTGGTTTTGGTCCTGTCCTGGAATCTGTCCATATAGATAAGGAGGAATGGATGGCCATGGGGCACTAGTACGGGCCGTTTATAGAAGAAATTAGGTTCTGTGTTATATATTTCAGCCCTTAAAGATGAAAATCATGCAATATTACCCTTGAGCGTTTTTCAATCTCATCAACCCATTCGAACATTTCTAGAAATGGAGGATGCAAGATTATAATATTGTGTTCTAGAGCATCATTTGCTTCAAAGAAAGAGCAGCTACTAATTCACATGTGATTTCATTTTGATTTGGAAAAATAAAGACTTCCCATATATTGAAGGCAATGCCAATATTTATTCCCTTTTTGAGAGAAATTTCAAGACATCTTCATGCTTGTCCTAATACAGAAACATAGATTTAAAACCCATACAATTGTAAAAAGGGTCATTATTTGGTGAATAACAACAACAACAATAAATAACGGCAATAACAATCATTTCCGTTGTATAACATCACAATAACAAATAACGACAATAACAATCATTTTCGTTGCATAACACCCTTATTTTCGTTATTTGTGTGAATCAAGATTATATCATGTATCATGACAAAAAACGATAACAGCCATGATCGATGTTGATCGATTCCGTTAAATAACGACCATCACATTATGTACAAAACGTAACAACAACTATTCAAAACTATATATGGAAACACATAACAGTGAGCATCTTAAGAATTTTTCCAATAGCAGTGAATATGAACCATGTATGTATTACAATTGCGAATGAGACACCCAAAACCCAGCTACGTGTGTAACAGTTGGTAGACAATGTTTAGGCATTCATGCCTGCGAGTGGCATTTCTCTGGGCCATAATTACATCAACAAACAAATCCAAGAGAAGGCAACAAATGATCTATCCCTAATGTAATGAACCTACAATCGCATTGATGTTGTAGGGTTGTTTTTGACAAAAACAATGTTTAGCTACGCAATCCTGTGGTAGCAGAACATCATTTCGTTTCATTGCTGCATCCAAAGGAACAGGCAACAGAGGCAACCGGGATTCAGCTGTTTTTGTATTTTCAACAAGCTAACTAAATCGGAAGCTGCAAAAGATTTTTCCATAAGGTCACAAGCAGTAAGTTTCTGGTCAGAAATCATCCTTCAAGTGTCCATGACAAAAAATTACTCTCTCAAACCTTCTGGTCAGATCTCACAGTACTTACGAAGACCTTGCAGAGATCTTGAAGGAAGCTCAGATCTTGTGATCCGAATTGAGCGAGTTAGCAAACAGAAAGAATTGAGATTCAAGGTTGAGTAAAAGGAAGACATGAACAAACCACCAAACATGCTTGTTTTTCTGCAAAAGAAGCTTGCCACAGCTAATTAGAGAGTATCCACTGGCCAGCAGAAGAGTTCCCTGATTCAAAAGGGGCCATTGTCAGAAAACAGATAAACAAGTCTTACAATTATTTGGTTATTCTCATCAACTAGATCAGAATGTAAGGCTTCAAATGTTTATTACAAACCAATAAAGAAAATAACAAGTTCAGGAAGCAAATATGAAAGGCAACAATCTCGTCGTAACAAAAATAAAACCAGCTAGCAACTCCAGTATGGCAGCTGTTCAAAATGGTGGAATTATGTCTAAATGCACATGTAGAAAAAAATTGAAAAATTTAGCTGCTTAAAATTTGAAGGAAGCCATTACATAGAGTCTCCCTTCAATTGTGAAAAGTAGCACAATCTCGGCACCTTGCAAAAGGTGATTTGGCAATGAATAAACCAACAATCACCCGTTTCTGGGTGCCACAATCTACCATAGAAATGAAAGAACACAAAGGAAAATAGAAAATACAAACATAAATTTAACTAGGGTATGCATCAACCAACAAAACAACAGTGAGTTTCAAGGCAAATTCATATGGCAAGTAAGTTAATGGCAGTCAGGTCGACATGGATCGGCACCTGCTGTAGACTCTGTTACAGAGCAATACTTCCAAGATCACCCATTTATCAGTGTTTATGCATCAGTCAAAAGACAAACAAACGCTATTAAGTCATCAACACCACACTCACTTTTGGATATCATATCAACGTCTTCGGCAAAGCAAATTCTCCTTCTTTTTTTATCTTTCCACTTGCTCATTAAAACAACATCACACAATGTTTTTACGAATCATGAGCTATTCAATAAATGAACAAAAAACCATAGACAGATGTGGAGAATTTTCCAATCAATGAATTGATGAAACTTGTCAAGGGATGCCCATTTGCAAGCACATTGAGCACATTCAAAACTCCTATAAGAAGAACAATACTATCTAGCAGTTCTCCTCGTGACCATAGTTTGTCACTAACTACAGCAACAATTCAACGAAAAGCTCAGTAACCGAAACTATCACTTAAAAATAGACAAAATCCTCAAACCTCAATCTTTATACGTTCAAATAACTGAAAGGAAGAAAAGCCAACTTTTTGATCTGGGATTATCTTAAAAAGGAAAAATTCAATCTTGGTCATGGATTTCAATTTTTTTTTTTTTTTTTATGTAGATCCCATTTAAGTAAATAATTCATCGATCATAAACATAATAAAACTCAAAACAAAGCAATTTATTGGAGTCAAAGCATCCAAGTACACCATGATTAATGCTGGCTGTAAAACTAGAAAATGATGCCTAAAAAAAGATGAAAGAGATAATCGATAGGTAACAGAGAGAACTTCACTTACAGGTTCTTGTTGGATGCGTGCTACCACTAACAAGTGGAAAAAAGCCTTTAAAGGTGTAATTTTTAAGGTGGGGCACATTTGTAATTTGCTGAAAAATTGAAGGTGAAAATAGTCTTTTCACCATGAATAGGTTGTCGTTCACTGATAATAAGGTTTCAGTTTGGAAATAAAATCAACAAATCAAATCAAATAGAAAATCTAATTTCCCATACAGAGAAAAAAGGAGATGGCAAAATTCTCGCTTGAAGACGGAGAAGGGTCAAGCTGTCCAAGGCCAAAAAGACAAAGATCCTCTTCTCCCTCTTCTCCTCATCCTGAATTTACTAGGGAAGAAATTATTTGTGAGGAAGAAGAATCTGACGACGATGAAGAAGAGGATGAAGACACAAGTGATGAAAGTGAAGAAGAAGAAGATGAGGAGGAGCAACAGGTGGTAGAAATAGCGAGACCACGACCACCACCAGCACAACAACAACAGCCTCCAGCACAACAACCACCACGGCAGCAAGAATATAACCAGATGGCAATTCTGGGACTACAACAACCTCGACCCAGATTGATTGAGGGCTCATTCATTCTAGGACCTAATCTTGTGCGGCCCAGCAGAAATGGTGCTATTTGTGTAATTTTATCAGACCCAGAAGTTCTTGATTGTCCCATCTGCTGTGAAACCTTGAGCATTCCTGTTTTTCAGGTATTTGATACTTGTTTCTGTTTTTTCCTCTTGCATGCCATTTCGTCCTTCTGTCTCAATGATGTGTTGATTTATATATATTTTGAATATGATAATGGGTTATTGGCTTATTAGGCTAAAGATTCCATCTTGGTGTTTGTATTTGCTAGGTTTTGGTTATTTGTTCTTGGAACTGTTTGGTGTGCGAGAATGGATTTTGTCCTTTTTAGTTTGGTTCCTTGAAATTGAAAATTTTCTATTCTAATTGTAACTGTTTAGTGTAAAGATCAGAGCTATGCTGTGATTTGTTTTGAATAAGAGTCGATGGCTGTTACCATTTGACATCTTTAGATGGCAATAAGATAGACTTTGGATGTTTATGAAGAGGAAGTTGTTGTCAGGTCTAGTGGAAAATTCCAGTTTGTGTGGGTGAAATGGCTATGGAAGTTGGAATATTTTTCTACGAATGTGATTTGTTGAAATAACATTGATTTCCTCAATAGAGATCTGTATGAGTAGTTGAAGGGAAATGTTTGCTATTTTACTTGCATTAACTCTAATCTTTTAGTTCTTTATGTGCGCTATTATATGACGTTTATGATATTTTGTCTCGTGAGTAACTTTTTTATTGATTTATTTTCTGTGTTCTTGCTGGGAAATTTAGTGTGAGAATGGACATACTGCTTGCTCTTCATGCAGCGAAAAACTTCTACATAAATGTCCTTCCTGTGCTATGCCTATTGGCTATAACCGCTGTCGTGCCATTGAGAAGGTTCTGGAATCACTGAAAACACAATGCTCCAATTGGAGGTATGGGTGCAAAGAAGACATTTGTTTCAGTAAGAAATACGAACATGATAAGAGTTGCAGCCATGCTCCATGTACATGCCCCCTGTCAGGTTGCAACTTCCAGGGTTCATCTAAGCAATTGTACGTACACTGTAGGAGTAAACATTTAGGGGAACTAAGAGGTTTCCAATTCAATGCCATCTTCCCTCTTTTCTTTACTGTTAATGACAAATTCCGTGTCCTTCACGAAGATAAAGAAGGTGTTTTGTTCATTCTGAATAATAGATCGGATTTTCTTGGAAACGTGATCACTGTTAGTTGTATGGGGCCTTCTTCATCAAAGCAAGGGTACTTTTACGAACTTACGGCAAAAGCAGAGGGAAGCAGTATAAGATTCCAATCTTCCACAAGAAATGTTCAAACCAGAGTTGATCACCCTCCATCGTTGGGGTTCCTTCTAGTCCCAAATGATTTTGTTGGTACTTATGGGCAGATCACATTGGACATCTGCATATGGCGTCTTGGCTCACGTCCTGCCATAAGCTCTGTGTAAGTGATTAAAGAACTGAATTGCAGTTTGTGAGTGGTCCATTTGAAATTGTAAAAGCACACTTGACTAGCCTGTTTCTTAGTTTCTATATGATCTTTTTTTTCCTGATTGAATCTATATTATGATGATATTACTACAATGATTTTCATTTTTCACCTATTGGTTCCCAAGCTCCTCTTAAATCACATGTTCTTATTCATTATTTTATCCACCAAATAAATGATACAGCTTGAACCGTATCGATCGTTAGTTTGTATGTGTGTGTTGGGATATATGAGATTCCATGCTTCACAAAATCAAATAGGTTTTCTGTGAAGTGGTATGTTCTGTTCTTGTCCCTAGTGGTTCAAATTAAAGAAAAGAAATGATGGAGCTTTTGTTGCGTAACCAACATGGTGAAAGGAAAAAGAGAAGAAAAAGAGAGGAGAAACTTTCGTGCCAATGAATGTTTTTGAAGTATTTGTGATTTTGTTGCAAAAGAGGCAAAGATGTATTAGAGGGACATTATAATTCTGGTAAACTTGCAAAGTCGTCAAGCTCTGGTTAGGTTATAAAAAGTGTGAACTTATACAAGCACCAAACTTGCTGACCATTTTTAGAATGCTAAAACATGCTATTGATTGTGCTTAATACAAACGCTAGTGAAGATACATAGTACTGAAACTCTTGCCGTCCAGTCTTCACTGGAATTGGGTAGGGTAGGAACATGTCCTTTCCACCCTCACTAGGTCATGTGGTCATGGGAAGCATAGTTTTAAATCGCAAATGTAATTAAAAGCAGTCATTACGGTGATCTTGGGTTGCAGCTAATCACGCTAATAAAATAAAAGTCATAACAATTAATGCTGTAAATATATTAACAGTTATTAATAAATTTATTTTAATTTACATATTTTTAACAGTTTTATTAATTAAATATATTAATAATCTTAATTAATAGTTTTACTAATTAAACATACTAATAACATGTCGTAGGTAGGTACAAAAAATGCAAATGCTGAAATTTTGATATATTTTTTTTAGTATAACGCCATTATATAACGTCACACAACAATAATGTCATTATTCACACGAAACAAAAAAAAAAAGCTGTTATAACGTCGAATAATGATAAAAGAGTGTCTGAAAACCGTTACATAACGTTAACAGCTATTATTTGGATCTGTAATGAGAAGTGAAGTTATGAAGATGTCCTGACTTTGATCAATCCATTTGATCCATAGAAGATCATGACTTGGGATTAAAGATTGCATTATCAAGCTTTCCTATTTCACTCAGGTGCCCTCACAGCAGTTCCTGTGATCAATTTGGCTGTGCATACTAATGAATTGATTCTAGAGGTAAGATGCGCTGCTGTTCTGACATAGCAGAGTCATACATGGACATAAATTTGAGTTGGTGACTTCACTAGGGTTCTTCAGTAGATTTTCATTAACTTAAAAGAGCTGGTGCATCAATACTCCTGGAGATCAAGTAACTTCCCATTTTGGTCATTGCTGCTACTTCATGATAAGAATACTACACAACTGCTACCTCATGGCCCTGTCCAGTGCTTTCCCTGGCGGACGTTTTCCGTATCTGCCATTTAGAAAAATCTCATGTAACTGAAGTGTTTATCAGCCCTCCAGCGATACCCATATTTTAACTGAAGTGAATTAGTTCAGACTGGGATGCAGTTTCTTCCACGGCCATCCACCAGTTGTCATCTTGCTCGTCAACATTATCCTGCTTGCATATAAAAGAATAATCAGGTTCAAGAAATCTCATAATTGTTAACAAGTGCATTCATTCAAATTTGCAGAACTCGTACTGTCAAAATAGACTTGAAACTGCAATTCTGGTAGCTACATTGGTACTAAACAGTCAAATCATTTCCAGAGTTAATTTTGTAAAATGTGTAATTTTGTATTCCATCATATATATTTTGATTGCGCTCACTAAAGCTAATATCAGAGAAAATGAAAGTACTCTGTTAATTTTCGAAAGAACTCTGCAACGTGCCTGCCATTGAAACCTAATTGTCAAGAGGCATACCCCTGATCCCTAACATAATTTATCTTGTTCCATCTAGACATAGATTACAATCATCAATGGAACAGAAAAGTAATCCTTTGACCCTTTGACTAAGAACATCGAGATCTGCTTCAATAAAGAAATTTGAGAGAAAAAACCAAAGGGAAAAGAGGAACAGAGGGATTGGTGATATAACCACTCGTCATAGGAAATGCTATGAGATGAGATGAACAAAGGCAGCAGTAGGAGTACTGACATTCGTGATTAGAATAATATACTAACCAATGTTTTCTTCTCATTTTCAATATCATCTGCAACTTTAATGGCTTCAAGCCACCAAGAATCTTTTGAACAGCTGTCGGAGTTGTGTTTGTCAACATAAAGCCGAAAATCTTCACAGTCATTGCTTACATATTGAAATTCAAGGTTATTATTTGTTGACCCTATTTTATCTGCCATTTGCACTGAATCATACGAAAATGGAGGGTCGGGGATCACATCCCACGGGATAGGTCGTAAAGGGGATCGGTAACCTGTGCCATCAATAATACCAATTAAATATGATTGCCCATGCATCAGAAGGTTACAATAACCATCAAAACTACAGAAAAAACTGTTCTGCACCTTGGCAATCTGGATCATGACATTTCTGATAATAATCTGCTCTTCTCAAGTCAACAACATACATTACTGAATCAAAAAAGACATTGAAGCATATAAGCTGTCTCTTTTATGTAAAGTAAGCAGTTGAAATTGCAAAACAATGGCAACCAAGTCTGTGAAGCAGCAGAAAATATTCACGTAGAACTTCAAAATATCTTAGTAATATTGCCATGTGCAGGCTGCAAAAATGAGAGTTCATACAAAGAAAAAGATTTCATGCATAGCGTAAAAATATATTTGTTTGCAGCTTAAGAACATAAAATATAGCTAAAGTTACCATGATTGCTTTTATGCTCTCTACCAATTCGTTCACAGTATCTATTTCTTGACATGCTGTAGACCATCAGCCCATACTCGGAGAACCAATACCAGCTTCGTATTTTTCCTAAATAGAAGCAAATTGTCAACCAGGGAAAAAAGAAAAAATTAAAAGAAAACAGTTGATACCTAAAATATTTTACAAGGGAATTATGAAGCAATAATAGAGAAAAGAATGACATCTTAATTTACGCTAAAGCTGAATGTTATGTGATGACTCCTTGTGATAGGAAAAAAAATAAAAAATGAAGGGCTACTGGAATGAAGACTCCCGACTTCCCAAAAATTTTGTTAGATTATGCTCAAGTTGCTTACAATTGGAAAGGAGAATTCAGCGGGAGATGACATCAAGAAGACAGTATATAAGAATATTTACCATAAAAAATGAAAAATTGAATAGAGCAGTTTTAACAGGTCCTGCCATTTCAAGTGACAAAATTATTAGAAAAGAGGTGACTTTTTTTCATAATTTTCACTCTTACTATCCAAAATGACACACTCATGGCCCCAGTAAATAAATTTTATGATTGAAAATGGTACCACCTGATATATTTCTGGTTGAGGCAATAGATTCTATGAATTTTTCCAAGGCTGGGAATGGTGACTTTCCAGTATCACTTGGCACACCACTCAATGAAAGTTCTTTTGGGATATAGCGTCTTCTGTGATCATTGTTTACCTACATTAGAAAATTATCGGTCAAAATTTCGTACATCAGAAGCTTCTTCTGGGAGTACCAATGATATATAATCTTCAACCTTCAAAGAAGGTGGTTGAAACAAACAACTGGATTACATGACAGTTAAAGCACTAAGAGGATATTGTAGAACATGAAAAAGTATAGGAGGGTGCCCATCACTACAACTAACCCAGGGTTCAAATGTACCTCTGTATCAAATTGCAGGGTCTTCATACATTCCATGTCCATTTTGCAGACAAGAAGTTTATTGCAACCAACATCCATGTTGCAGATCAAGGATGCCATGAACATGTCTTCTTCACACTGTTATTAATCAACAAAACAGCATTGCATTGTAAGCTGAGAGTCCAAAAATTTTGTTAGATTATGCTCAAGTTGCTTACAATTGGAAAGGAGAATTCAGCGGGAGATGACATCAAGAAGACAGTATATAAGAACTTATCTGCAAGAGTACATTTATATGCAACAGTAACTTTTCTGCTAGTACCAATAAATGCAACGCAGAACAAATCGATGAGCAATTCATATACTGAATGAAAATCAATTATGCAAGATAAACTTTACAGAGTGGCTTACTAAGTGTTCTTTCAGTATCTAAATATGCATTCACATTATAAAATAAGGGACATTGAATGAATACCAAGCATCTCCAGAACACCATACCTGCAGTAGAGGAGTCAAGCTCTACTATCCAATCCCGGTTCCCTTGAATAGAATACTTTTCGAGTAATGCTTCTAGTATGACTGATATCAAGAGATCGACCATTTCATCCCCATTTCTTTCTACATTGTCTCTCTTATTGAACTCCAGATCAAAATAAAGGTGGCATGGGAGCCCCTGAAAAATACACAGCAAGAACTGCAGAAATTACAACAATGGCATGCAAATGACTTCAACACTTCAAGTTTTATTGACATTAAAAACTAGAAAGTCCTTGCAGGCTTGCTGCAACCAAATTAAATCAAAGCAATTGCCAAGAAACGAAGCAAGAAATAGAAAACAAAATGAAATATGTTGGCACAATTTAAAAAAATTAATCAATGTCAAGCCAGCTACAATTTTTCAACACCCACTGTTTCCATTTAGAATCAACAGGTGGCTGTGTGATAGTACGCAAGTGTAATCATTAATAACAAAAAAGGACAGTTTCTCACCTCCTGAATCACTTCATAATGGTGGCGAAATTTAGCATCCATGTTTTTGTACCTGAAATTACAATATGTTCAGCACAAACCAAACACTCACTATAGAAAATATCTGAAATGTAATAATTGATTCCAAACCTCATTTGCAAAGAATACACAAAAGAAAAAGAACCTTTCCCAAAACTCCTTGTATGTCGAAATGAGAAACCTTCGCTGTCCATTATGGTGATCTTGATAACTGAAAATGCGCACATTCTCATGCTCTTTTGCAAAATTCATAGCTTCATTCTGCCTAGGAAATGTTGCCCACACTTCCTTACTAACCAAACAAGCGACACAATCACTTCACATCATAAAAGAAATACAAAAAAAATGAAAACACAAAAAAGAAAAAAAAAGGAACTACTACCTCAAGTTTGATTTTTGTTGTTCCGCGAGATCCACTCGTATTTCATGCAAAAGTCGCAACAAGCTAATGGGTCTTTTTGGTGGCACTCCATGTGGAGACCCATAGAACACAACTGGAGAAATTTGCTTTCCTTGGCTAAAATTCTTTCCTTTAACTGTCACCGATCCAATCTTAACCAGTAATAACACAAAGTTAATAACTTCATCAATCTCTACATTACAATAACATAAATTTCCAAGAAAAATAAAGCAAAATCCATCACTATAAAATTAGAAAAACAAAACCAATAATAATAATACAAAGTCACTAATTTTATTAATCTCTACATTACAATGAACATTAAAAAATGAATTGCCAATCAAAAAAGGCAAAACTCAACGCTGTAAAACTAGGAAAAAAAAAAACTAATAATAATTCATTGTCAATAACTTTATTAATATCTACATGAAAATGAACATCAAAACATGAATTTCTGACCAAGAACAGAAAAACCCATCACTGTAAAACTACAAAGAAAAACAAAAACTAATAATAATTCAAAGTCGATTAACTTTTTTAATCTCTACTTTACAATAAACATTAAAACATGGATATCCAAGCAAACCCCACAACTTAAAACCAAGGAAAAAAAAGCAAATCAAAAGTTACGCACTTTCTTCTTTGGTTGCTCCGCTAAACCCGGAGACGCTTCGTTTATAGAAATGCCTTGATTATTCATTTTTTCTTTGCTTCTCTTTCTCTCTCTCACAGCAGATTCTGCAAAATTATTGTAATTACAAATCTTCTTTTGCCTTCTAAAACATCCAATTGAAATAGCAACCATAAAATGGAATCAAACTCAAAAATTAAAAAAATTAAAAAAAAAAAAGAAGAAGAAGAAACGATTTGGTTTTTTTTTTTTTTACTTTTTTTTCTTTTTGGAACTTACGAGGAGGAGAAATCCCGCATTTGAAACATTCGAATAATCGATCAACGTCGTCCATTGTTGTTGTCGTGTTTGATTTCGATCCCATTTTTCTCTCCACTGTTTTTCCTTTTGTTTTCCCTCAATTTCTGGTCTTTATTAACTAGAAGAAGAAGCGGGAAGTTTTGTCACTGTATTTCCAAATTAATCCACACATTTTCCTTCTACAGTTACTGATTATTTTTTATATTTTTCATAAATTTTTTATCAAAAAAATTATTTAATAGTATAAAAATTGTCAAAATCAATGAATTCTTAGCTAAAAAATTATTTTGTAATTTTTTTTAAAACATTTTTTTGTCTTTTATTAAAAAAAAATAGAGAAAAAAGGACCAAAATGACCAAAATAAAACAAAAAAGAAAAACCAAAACCAAACAAAAAATATTTATGGATTGAAAAAATCATATTTTAAAAAAAAAAGACCGAAGTGTAATGTTATGAAAAAATTTATAATAAATATCTTAAAATTATCTTAAAACTATAAAAAATATCAATATATAATGAAAGGAATATTATTTTTTAATGTGTGTGAATAGTAAAATAAGTATGGATGAATAGTATTTCAAATAATGAATGAATAGTCAAATCAATAGTTTTATTTTTATTTAAAATTATACAATACAACCTAACCTTATGATTTAATATTGTGAACTTTTTTTTACTTAAAAAGAAAACTTCTAATGCATCTACTGGAATTATTAAATTAAACAATAAACCAAACTATGTTTTTATTATATATATATATATATATATATAATAAAAATTTATACTTGTAGTTTTTTATTTGAAAAAACTACTAAGTTAAGCCACCATCGAATGATTTTGCCAATTATGACTCATTCAAAAAAGTCGATCAATATATTAAAAAGAAAAAAACTAATAAGAAAGTGGTTAAAGTAAGAGTTTAGAATACAAAAATGAAAAAATCTAAATGTCAATCTCCCAAAAAAAGAGCGAAACTAGACTAAAACAATAAAAAAGATAAACTATCTGTTTAAAAAGCCTAAATGATGAGTTCTTGAATTATTTTTTCATCTTTTGATTTTATTTGAACTAAGCATAAGATCATTTCCAAAATACATAAAATGATTGTCAATATATTTAGCCCAATGTGTTACTCTATAAAGAACCAACGAAAAAACATTATTCCAATTAAGAGTGATCTTGTTAAACATTATTCCAATGGTCACTCTATAAAATGATTGTCAATTTATTTGAACTAAGCAGAAGATCATTTCCAAAATACATAAAATGATCATCAATATATTTAGCCCAATGTGTGACTCTATGAAAAACCAACGAAAAAACATTATTCCAATTAAGAGTGATCTTGTTAAACATTATTCCAATGTGTTACTCTATAAAATGATCATCAATTTATTTGAATTAAGCAGAAAATCATTTTCAAAATACATAAAATGATCATCAATATATTTAGCCCAATGTGTCACTCTAGAAAAAACCAACGAAAAAACATTATTTCAATTAAGAGTGTATTGTTCAAGATAAAATCATTTCATACTAGTCAAATCAGCCATAGACTTGAATAGAGAAGAAGAAACCACATGTTTTTTCTGCAATTACCAGCTTGTGTAATGATCCTATCATACTGATCCTAAAAATAATGTTAAGTTTTTGCTAATTTATTCTCTATAAAAATAAAAATCACATATCTCATCACAAGGTAATGTACGTTTTTTTTAATAACTAATGATCTATTAAATTGACATTCATTTTGAAACTAAAAATTTTATTATATTCAAAGTTTTGAATTTATTATTTTGACAAATTGGTAATATATATAATTTGCTCCAATATCTTAATATACCACATATTTTGTTTAGAGCACACCCTATCATCAATCAATTAAGAACAACCTTTCTTTTTTTATTTTTTCTTTTTTTTTTTTTATGGCTGCATGGACACTTTTCTTACTTTCATTTGTGTGTTCAACACATGTTTAGCATGACTCTGCAATTCATGTGAAAAGTACTTGAAATAAATATAAATATTTAAAAATTAGAAAATATTCAAGATAATTAAGGGGATAGTTGACTTTTTTTTTCTTTTTTTTTTTTACAAATAGAATTAAAATTTAAGTTTTCAAGAATTGTGGAGTAAAATAAAATCATATTCTACGTGTCCATGGTAGATAAAACACATTCTAGTCCAAGGATCTATTGAAGATTCTGATAAAAAAAATTTTAACAATATTGAGTTCTCACCAGTTACGAAGGTTTTACAATCACATGAATAACAAATTGTCCATAATTTTTAAATCATTCAGTGTCATTGTGATTTAAAGTAAGTTATATTCCAAAAATAAATTGTCCATGAATTAGCTAATTTTTTTCCTTATATTTTTTACATAGTTCTTTTGTTCAAATAAAAGAATAATAATTAGAATTGGCAACTAAGAAACACTTTAACAATTATTTATGATGAAAAAAAATAACAACATGAAAGTTGGCTTCACATGAATTTAAATAAAATTCACAAAAACTAATTTTTCATTTTACTATATAGATGGAAATTAAGATAGACAGATAGATTTCCTTTAGTAATTTGCAGTATGGTAATTTTCCATTTCTGTTGCAGCAATTAACTTTGCATTCTTGCATGACCTTTGGCACCAAGTGGGAGAGATGAATTGATTGTGTAAATACTAATGTGTTATAAAATATTTTGAATTTTTTATCAATAATATAAAAAATAAATGTTTTTTGAGATCTCATTTTCTTGTTGATCAAAAGTTCAAGATATTAATTTATATATGCAACTAATTAGCTTAGTGTCATTTTCTTGTTGATCACTTAATTTTGCATGCATCACATGATCACCTGCTATGCGAAAATGATATGAGCAAGTGGCTATCAGATTTTCTGCACCAGGTAATATCAAACTCGTATATAACTGACCAGATGATGTTCATGATCCTGCTTGTCTAGATAGTCTTTACTAGTCTAGCTAGATAGTATTGTTTATGAGAAACAATACAGCTGGTTTTTAATTTCGAGTGACCAATTCTTCCACTTTGTTCCCTTTTCCGTCAGCATTGCGTACAGAAATCTGGTTTTTTCTATTTGCAAATTATGCGCATGCATGCGCATGCCTCCAGTTTGTAAAATACTACTATGGCAGACGATAACTAGTCTCAAGGTCTTTACGATCCTCTTTATCAAACGTAAGTACATCTGTCATGGTCGTTCTTCGAGCATGATATCTTATAATTAATAATGCCTTCTGTCTTGTAATTATTTTCATAACAACTATTGAGTATTGCTTATTCTAAAACATCTCCTCACGTATGATATAAAACAACTACTACTACACGTTGGAATAAACTAGCCATTTCATTCATCTTCGTTGACGACGTATCATCATATGATTGGTTAGATGCTGGATAAAAGGATTGGTTTATTGCAACGTTTAATAGTACATAATTTATTTTGTACTATATCTGAATGGGGGAGTTAAGATAAACAATACTGTATGGTATAAAAGCTCGAGATGAATTTAACCCCATGAACAAACATTGAGGACGATTCTTTTCATATACGTTATTAATGTCATCAGTCATCATCTTTTCATATAACTTGCAAATTATTCGCATGCGCATGCCTCCAGTGTATAAAATATTACTATGACAGATGATAATTAGTCTCAAGGTCGTTATGATCCTCTATATTAAACGTTACTACATCTGTCACGGTCGTTCTTCAAGCATGATATCTTATAAATTAATAATGCCTTCTGTCGTGTAATTATTTTTTCATGACAGATAGGTGAAATTCATTTCGTATCATTGTAGTATTGAGTATTGTTTATTCTAACACATCTCCTCAAATATATATAAAACAAATCATTTATTATTGAACGATGGGAAAAACTAGCCTTTCTATTCATTTCCGCTAACATCGTCTCATTATATGATTGGTCAAATATTGAACAGAAGGATTGATTTGTTGCAGCGTTAAATAATACATAATTTATTTTGTACTGTAATGAATAAAAAAGTTAAAATGAAATATTGAATGGTATAACAGTATTGAATAGTATAAGAGTACGGTGTGAGTTTTACCTCATGAACACTGAGGAAGGTTCTTTTCATATAAGTTATTAATGCTATCAGTCATCATCATGGAAATTTGTTTCTGACAGAAGATCCACAAAAAGTTTCTTTTCCTATAAGAAAAATCCACAAGAAGTTGTTGGCATTGATTATTACTTTCTGATTTCAGCCAATGTAAAGCATTTGAAGCTTTTTGTGAGAGGAGTCTAATTAATTAAGTGGCAATATTGCTGTGTTAATGTTTTGTAATCAGGGTAGGCAAGAAAAGGGAAATTGGCAGATATGAGCCACCCCAGTTACGTAGGGTGCATATATATCAGAAGTAATCTTAGGCAGGCTGCTACGAACGATCATGTCGTGTAGAGGACGCATTTTCCTTCATGAGCTAGCTCATGCTTTTACCTTTAGTAGGTAAAGGGCTGTCCACTGAAACTCTGTGTTTTAACAGAAATGAAGTTTTTAATAGTTTTTTGCCATTTTCAAAATTCAGATTGCGCAACCATTTTGTCTTTTCTTTGATTTATACCTAAGCATGTTCGATGGAAAGATTGGCTTGTTGCAGCATTCAATAATGCATAATTTATTTTGCGCTATACCTGAATAAAAAAGTTAAAATGAACTATACTGAATGGTATTAGAGTACGGTGTGAATTTTTACCTCATGAACACTGAGGAAGGTTCTTTTCATATAAGTTATTAATGCCATCAGTCATCATCTTGGAAATTAGTTTCTGACAGAAGATCCACAAAAAGGTTCCTTTCCTGTAAGAAAAATCCACAAGAAGTTGTTGGCATCGATTATTACTTTTTGATTTCAGCCAATATTGTAAAGCATTTGAAGCTTTTTGTGAGAGGAGTTTAAGTGGCAATATTGATGTGTTAATGTTTTGTAATCAGGGTAGGCAAGAAAAGGGAAATTGACAGATTTGAGCCACCCCAGTTGTGTATGGTGCATATCAGAAGTAATCTGAGGCAGGCTGCTACGAACGATCATGTCGTGTAGAGGGCGCATTTTGCTTCTTGAGCTCATGCTTTTACCTTTAGTAGGTAAAGGGCTGTCCACTGAAAACTGTGTTTTACCAGAAATGAAGTTTTTAATAGTTTTTTGCCATTTTCAAAATTCAGATTGCGCAACCATTTTGTCTTTTCTTTGATTTATACCTAAGCATGCGGCATTCTGTTAGTGATCGATGATCAATCAACACTTTAAAGCCAACCATTCCACTGCCGCCTCAAGGCATTGCAGAAAAAAGAAAGAAGTTGTTATTGCCATAAAGTGATTAAGAATTTGTTCAAACTTCACAATGAAAGATACTAACGTGCCATGTTGCGAGCTTGAATTCTGGGCATATCTCATTATCTCTTTCATCCTTATATCATTAGCTGGTATCACATCAGGTCTTGCTCTAGGTCTCTTGTCCTTCAGCCAAGTTGAGCTTGAGGTCTTTGTCAAGTCTGGTCTGCCACAAGACCAGAAGAATGCAGGTTGGTATCACTTGGATCACTTGCTCCTCCGATTCTTTCTTAAATTTAATGCAATACTGACTTCTAGCCGTTCCCTTCTTTGTGGCAATATACTTGTTCTTCTGCCCGCCACGGAGTTGCAGGAAAGATTCTGCCGTTGGTTAAGAATGAGCATTTACTTCTGTGTACCCTACTCATAGTCAAAACGCTAGCAATGGAGGTATTATGTTCATGTACAATATTTACATTTGTTATGGAAAATTTACCTTCTTGAACGAGTTAATTAGCAAACTTTTGTTTCTAAGGCATTGCCTGTGTTCCTGGACCCGATTCTGCCATTCTGGGCAGCTATTCTTATGTCAGTCACCCTCGTACTTGCATTTGCAGAGGTAACTGTCAGTATTATCATTTGTAAGTCAGTTTTCTGAGCTTCATAAATCATAGCTAGGTTTACTTGTTGTTGAGTTTTTACCAGATCATCCCTCAAGCTGTGTGTGCTCGATATGGACTAAGTGTTGGTGCAAAATTATCTGTCTTCGTTCGATTTCTTCTGCTTGTCTTCTACCCTATTGCATACCCAATTAGTAAGGTAATTTCATTCTATTTGTAGTTTCAGCATCCCAGTTTGATTGACTTGAATCTATGCTTCTTCTTCTTCTTCTTATATATTAAACCCTAGCACATGATTCTCTGCAATAATAATGGAATTTATAGCATTCTAAATGTCTTGGGATTTCTAAAACGAGATATATTGAAACATTCTGCATGGCAGCTGCTGGATTGGTTGCTCGGGAAAGCACATTCTGCACTTTTAAGACGAGCAGAGCTGAAGACATTGGTTTGCTTACATGCAAATGAGGTTGGTTTCTCATAGTTATCCTGAAATCGCATCAAATACTATGATTTCATCTTCTGTGTCCAGGAATTTTACACTCTTGACAAGCTGATATGCATTGATAGGCAGGGAAAGGAGGAGACTTGTCACATCATGAAACTACTATTATTTCTGGTGTTTTGGATTTGACACAGAAGACTGCTAAAGATGCTATGACACCCATATCAGAAAGCTTTACTCTGAATATAAACTCGAAACTCGACATGTATACTATGTCGTTTGCTTTTATGATCTTCATTTGAAAATTGTTTCTCCCTTTATTTTTTATTATTTCATCTGCATAACTAGGCAAACAATGAGATTAATAATGAGCAAAGGTCACAGTCGCATACCTGTCTACTCCGGAAGCCCGAACAACGTTATCGGCCTCATTTTGGTAAGAAACTCAAGATTTGGAATTGATCTTGCTCAATCACTAGCTGTATTTTAACTCTGGTAAGGATCTGCATTTTTAATCCATAACTGCTGATACATCTTTTGCTGATTTGTTTATGCATTTATGGTCTAAGAACTCTCGGAAAATTATTATTCAGATGTGATATTGCTTAGGCAATCTTTATTAAAGCAGCAACTTTTAGACGTTAACCATAAAAACATGTTTTCTTTCAGGTTAAAAGCTTGATATTCTGTCATCCTGAAGATGAAACCCCAATCAAATCTATGCCTATTAGGAGAATTCCAAGGTATGGAATGCTTTTGTGATATTTTCCAGATTTTGCTATACAATTGAACCCTAGCCCACCATCCCTTGGTACAGCGATAAGAATGTTATCTTAGTTTAATCCAGATCAAAATTCAATTTTCATTATCCATTTATAACTAACCATGATCATCCGTTATTAGTACTAAATTTATGATAATTTAGCCTAAAAAACAGTTTAATAATCGATCAAAAATTAGATGTTTTATCGCAAGTCTAGCTGGGAGAATTGTGGATTAAATGTGGCGATCTAAAAGGTCCCATGGATACCCTACTCTCTACCTCTGAAAAAAAAAAAAAAAAGAAGCTAAATCCTAGTCCTTAAATAGATAGAAATTTCAGCTCATAGCTAATCATTCTTCACCATGTTTATGATATGTTTTCATGAAATGAATGACATTTTCGCCCTATCTATATACGAATTGAAATAGGGTGACTGAAGATTTCGCACTATATAGTATACTGAATCAATTCCAGAAGGGTCACAGCCACATGGCTGTTGTTGTGAAGAGGAAGGAGGATTTGAAAAGCACTGTTAATCATGCAGTATTCAAGCATTCCAAGTTGGAAATTGTCACTCATCCAAATCCAAAAACAACACAAGCAGAGAGGAAAGCTAACATAGATGATAGAGGTTTGATATTTTGGACTAATTGATGACGGTGTGTGTGCTAGACTAATTGGTCATAAAATATTCTAAACTTTTGGTTAACAGGAAAAAAGTTTTTAACTTTTTTTTATTATGATTTGGATTTCAAACTTTTTTTTTATATCATAATTACGTCATTCGGTCTAATTGATCATCAAAACAAAGATATGTGTTGTTTGTTTTAATAGCTTACTTGTTTGAGAGTATTTTTTTTAGGACATGTCCATGTTATTATTTTAAATTAGTCATCGGGTTAAGAAAAACTTAATTGTGGATAAAAAAAAGTTCGAAATCCAAATCAAAATAAAAAAAATTAAAGACTTTTTTCCTTATTGATCAACGAGTTCGGAGTAATTTATGACCAATTAGCTTTCTTTTTATATCTCTGTTTAGTTTTGCTTTATAACCCCAAGAATTTCCATTTATTTGCCAAACAAAATTGTAATAGAAATGAAAGTTCAGTAGCTCTGATTTTTTGCAGGAATTAGCTCTCCATTTTATCAGATTGAGTATTCTGATATATCCACAAATGCTTCCCCTTTGTATTCCAATAACAAAGACTATCAAAGTCCAAAACAAAACAAAGATCTGAATACTTCAAGAAAAAGCTGGGAAAAAAGGGAGAAAAATATTTCGTATGAAGATTTAGAATCTCTACGGAATGATTTAGAAGAGGAGGTTATTGGCATTATAACAATGGAGGATGTTTTGGAGGAACTGCTACGGAGTTAGTGTTAATTACTTGCATTGCTTTTGGCGGGATTTATGTATAATTAAGCTTAAATGGAACATGGATTACTTGTTTGATGTTTGTCTCAAGTTGATGATTCTTGCTTGCTTAGAGTCGAGCTCTTTGATCCGTTATCCCATTTAAGTAGATGCGAGTTCTTCTCTAATGGATTGTTTACGTACAATCTCGAGTTGTTAGCTTCTATTTTTCCTTTTCAATCTTCAAGATTCAACAATCCTGTGTTTTTCCTACTTGTTCTTTAGGAAGAAATATTGGACGAAACCGACGAAATGTAGATCTCCACAAGTGAGTGATGCAACTATTCTTTTCTCTTTTTTGATATAAGTTTGAATGGGTTAATAGCTCAATCTTTTCTTATATAATATGATAATTTTTTTAATCTACCGCTATATTCTTAATCGAGTCAATTCTTTATTTGTGAGTATACGTAAAATTTTTAATTTATTCATTTATCAAAATTTTCATATCAAACCATCGAATTATTCATAGAATTTCGACAAGAATAATTTTTGTTTTCAAAATAATAAATTTGCAAGCCAATCGAGTAATATATTTTTATGCACAAATCGTATAATTAATTTTAGTAGTTTAACTTGAAAATCTTACTAAAAATATATATTAAACACTTAATGTGTATTCACGAATAAAATTAATTCATTTAGGATATAAAAACAAATAGGATAGAATTATCACAGATTAAACCACACACACACATATATATAATAGAATTATCACAGATTAAACCCCCCCACACACACACACACATATATATATATAATGTCATGATATGTACACTAATTTTGGGCATCCATCTATGACTTAATTTCACTTTATCGGGAGTAGAATCAATCATCCGGCACCTTCAGAAGATTGTCACCAAGATCTCCTCGAAGCATTTCGAGTTTCCCATCTTCAATGGACTAGTACTCCCGATCGGCCATCTCCACTTTCTTCATACACTCCAATACCTCGTTCACCGATACCTCCATATACGAGTGTCAACTCTCATAAGGCCGACTTTATATCCTTCTCCGGGAAGATTTATAATGAATTCTCAAGGTCAATTTGTCGGTCTTCTACGCGACTCGCCATCCTCTCATCGAGAATGCTCGCAAAAAATTTAACCTTCGAAGATTGGAGCATGTATGTGTCCTTCAATATACACTTCCTCCATTTGCTCCAAACTTGAATGTTATCAAGTGAGGAAGGTGAATCTTACGTACTAAGTGCTTTCCATTCTATTGCCATGTATGTAATATGACTGATTGGTTATAAAATACCCAAACTTGTGTTCGGTAGATAAAAAAGTTATTAATCTTTTTCTATTAAGATTTGGGTTTCAAATCTTTTTTTTTTTGTTACGAATTAACTTTTTTCGTCTCTTAACCAATCCGAGATGATATTAGATGCATATGAGAGAGACATAAGCAATTAAAATAATGATACGTGTAGACACTCCTAAACACGTGAGTCATTAAACAAACGACATGTGTCTTCTCACATGTGTTCAATATCACCCGAGATTGGTCCGTAGAGTGAAAGACTTAATTGCGAAAAAAAAAAAAAAAAGGATTGAGATCTAAATAAAAAAAAAAAAAAAAAGATAAAAACTTTTAAATTTATAACCAATTAGCCATGTAATATACCATAGACTCATTTATTCAGAGTTAATATTTTGTTGTCGACGAGATCTCAAGGAAGACATACAAGAAGTTAATTACCCCTTTCGAATGATTCAAGAATAATTGATGCCTTGTGTGTCCGATTGGACGAGTACGAGATTAGTTTAAGTTTTTAGATTTGGTATATAATTTCATCCTATGAAACTAAGTCTAAAGAATATGAATAGTTTCAAATAAAAATGATTCCACCATACATCTTTCACTTTTATATATTTCTCTATATTGTTTTTCCAATGTTATTTGTTATAATTTGAACATGTTATATTTAATCTTGATTTGTACATATGAAAGTATATGAATACTTTAATAGGATGGAAGGAAAAAAAGAAGAAGAAGAAGAAAGGATTAGAGTAATTAAAAAGAATGTTCATTATTTTTTTTAGGTTCAATAGTAAAAATGTATTCGAGTTAATTTTCACATATCATCGGATAGAAATAAAAATTTAGGGCAAATTCTATCATCCCATAAGAACAGAAGAGCTCAAAAGAGCAAACCCGAACAGTCATTCACTAACCTCAGCAATCTTATCTGAGCTTCCTATATAGTTGAGCAAATTAAGGAAGTATGAAGTTTGAGGAAATTAAAACAGACCACCTTTCTAACTTAACATTCAGCAAGGAAAATCTATTAAAGTGTACAAAGGTTTTAATAAATCAAGTGAGCTATTTAATGATGATTACGCAAGTACTATATATTACACCATGATAGACAGTTTCTATCAACCAGAAACAAGTGTACAGGTGACATGTTTTTGAAGAGCAGCTAGCGGCAGGCATCAATTATTGGATTCCTAAAACATAATTATTTATGTACTCTAATGCCTATCCTTTAAAAATTAAATAGCTAGTGTGTTTAATATATATATATATATATATATATATATATATATATATATATATATATATATATATATAGATATAGAATTACAAAAAGAAAACCAAAAAAGAGGGCATTGTAGTTTTTTTTTTTAAAAAAAAAAACTCTTAGTATTAATACTGGGAAGAAAGTTAAAAGTAGGATAAAAATAATAATAGAAATAAAAATGAATAAATAAATAAAGACAAAACTTCTCGTAAGCTCATCACAAGCCATATAACATTCAATTAGTATTCGGAAAGGTCTCAGATGAATTTAAAGCTATAATTTAGATAAAATAATAATAGAACTTCGAAAATACAATTTAAGAAAAAATTACAAAGAGAAACATTTTGGTAGAGACAGAAAGTGAAGTATCTATGGAATCCTTCGAATCACCACACATAATTCATTAATTACTTCCCATGTTAGATCAGCATCAAAACACGTCTAATTTTTTGATTGAACGTTGAGTTATATTTTAATTTAAACTAGTTAAATCTTATTATTATTAAAAAATAATTATTTAAGAATAATAAAAATTAAACTTTAATTTTAATCAAATCAAAACAATATCTTTATTACTAAAAACATGTTTTAAGACGAGAATATATGTGTGTGTGGGGGGGACTTTCGTCAGCTGTCATATCTTTGACAACCAAGCAAATGTATTTAGATACTTAGGTATTAGTAAGAATCCTTACCTAACCTTAGCTAATATATATAGGGATATATACCAATATTCTAGTAAAAGCTATGCGCTCTCTGGTAATACTCAATGATAAAAACTAGGTTTGATCTTTCATGTACACTTATCTTAAATTAGCTGTATATTCTTAGCCACCATTTGCCTTCTGACGTAAGTTTTTTCTTTCCTTTAAGTATCATTTCGATTATTTGATCTAGCATCATCCTTTGCGTAAATATGTTTCTACCAAATGCTGACAAATGTTTTTACTTCAAATAAGTTCGATCTGTTCTTGTCTTCCACTAGACAAGTAATTCCCTGTGCTTTGAAGGAGAGATGGATGTCAATAGCATTGAAATAAATTGCTTCTTAATTAAACCTCCTTCCATTGTGTTCGGTATTGAGTTTCAAGGAAAGTTGTAAATGCTTTTAGAAATATATATATATATATATATATATATATATATATATATGAATCGAAAAGGTATTAAATTGACGTTTTTTTTAAGTGTTTTTTTCGATGATTTTGACTCTTAAGTTACGAAAACACACACTTTAACGTTGTTCTCTAACTCTATTAGGCATTGCTACGAGTTGAGGTTTCCATGCTATTATTTAGAAATTAATCACATATCTATTCTTGATATTTTCTTAATGTGAGTTTTTTACCCTCTTTCTTTTTTTTTTTTTTGGACTTTCTATTCTAGACATTTTCTTAACGCGCATGATTCTTCCAATAAAGTTCCGTTAACATTTTGGCTACAAGTGATAGGTGGATTGCCAACTTAGATAATAATGAGATGATCCTTTAATATGATATCGGAACTTGGTTAATCTTGAAAAGACAATCCACATTTTGCTTGTTGCTGAAAATTGACAAAAAAATCACATTTAAAAAAAATTAGAATAGAAAATATATATATGTGTGTGTGTGTGTGAGATTAATCCTTATGTTTAGGGTTCGAATCCGATAAAATGGATGAAGGTATATACGTGGCCCTTTCTTCCTCGCTATAAGGGGCAGCTTAATTTGGTTCCCACGAATGGACCTATGGATTAATTTTTTTCATTAGACCTACCCTTATATGGCACTTCATGGGCAGAGAAAAACAAAAATCCAGTTAGAAAAAGCCAATGAGAAGGATGTGTTGTGTTCGTCTTGTCTGATGTTTAGTGCTGCTTTTTGTTCAATACTTAAAACAGAAATTTACATGATATCATCATCAGATTTAAGTGGGATTTCGGCAGTCACTAAGAGGAGGAAACTTCCTCGAAACTTCCTATCTAAATAAAAATATATATGTTCTTGTTTTTTTGGAAATATTATTTTAAAGAAGAAGCTAGTTTAATATCAGAGTGACAAGGAACAAGAATTCTCAGAACATGGTGCTACGAATCAAGAATTTAAGGAAGTAGGTACTCTCCTAAAACAAGTTTTAAGAATTTTATTCTTTAACAAGGATGCAGCAGACAGGCCAATGAGCTAGCTTGTAGCTCACCTGTTACTCTTGTCTCCTTCGCAGAGAGATAGATTCAGGTTCAAAAAATATTTTCGTGATGAAAATTATTCATTAAGATTTATTTGGAGTTTTTAAAAAATATCCCAATCTTAAAAAAAAAATCTTGAATTTTTCTAAAAGATAGATTAGATTTTTTCCAATGCGTGTGTAAAATTTCAAATAAAAATACAAAAAATTGAATTTTTTAGAAGAAAAGGGTGATAGCTGAAAATTTTTGGACATAATAAATAAATAAATAAATGAGAGGTCAAACTCAAAACCAAATTAAAAGTTCAAATATTGATTTTCAAATGGAATAAAGTTCTAAGACGGTTTGGTCTTTTTAGCCTAAATTCTCTCTAATGTAGGTCTCAAGGTTCAAACTCATCAATGGAGAGAGGAAAACTCATCTATTGTTTTTCTCATGATAAGTTGATGAGATCAATCCATACAGAGTCAAGTAAATTACTGTTATAATGGAACACCTATAATGGATCAATAACAATGTCTTCAATTGCTATCATGGAGACTCCATCTTTCTCAAAAAATTTAATATTTTTATGGAATTATGTTAACTGCTTTTTGATCAGTTAGGTCATAATCTAGGACTGTAAGGTAATGCATGACAGATTAATCGTTTAATATTTGGCAGTTGGCATATCTTACACTTTTTGAGCTCACAATGACTCTACAGTTGGTGTCACCTTTTGCCCTCTCTGATTATCTTCAGAACCAACTCTTTCTTCTTCTCAATACACAGTCTCTTTCTTTGCTGTATATAACAGCAGTGCCGTCTATATTCAATTCTCCAAGCATTCCTTGATATCTATCTTACAGAAAAATGGCAGCAAATGATGTGCCATGTTGCGAGCCTATGTTCTGGACATACCTAATCATATGTATGACTCTAGTGTGTTTTGCTGGCCTAATGTCTGGTCTTACTTTGGGACTTATGTCTCTTAGTGTCGTTGACCTTGAGGTTCTGATCAAGGCTGGTCACGGCCAAGAACGAAAGAATGCAGGTTAATTCATATCAGTATTGTTTTCACCATGTTAAATCTTCTTTCAGGACTAAAACGTTTTTATATGTTGTTGATCATGCATGGCAGAGAAGATTCTTCCTATCGTCAAGAATCAGCATTTACTGCTATGTACTCTCCTCATAGGAAATGCTTTGGCAATGGAGGTATCTATATATTTGTGCGTGTGTTGCCTTAAAATATAGCAAATCTTTCAGATTTTCCATAGAGACGATTAATTCTGATTTATGTATTGAATTAAGGCCCTGCCGATCTTCCTCGACGCGCTTCTTCCTGCTTGGGGTGCTATACTGATATCAATCACCCTCATACTCGCCTTTGGGGAGGTAAAATGTTGCAGAACTTGCATAAATGGATTAACCATAGTTTCCTAGCATGACAGGTTATGTTTTTCTCCAGATAATCCCTCAAGCAGTTTGTTCTCGGTATGGTCTGAGCATTGGCGCAAAATTGTCTGTCGTCGTGAGGTTTATAGTTATAGTCCTCTTTCCCCTAGCTTATCCTATCAGTAAGGTAAGAGCTAGGTGCTTCTCAGTTCTCAGCTTGGCTGTTATTGTACAAAATACGAGTTTAAGGATTTTCTGATCAAAATTCCTTGTTGACAGTTGCTGGATTTGATCCTTGGAGAAAAGCATTCTGCAGTATTGCGACGAGCAGAGCTGAAGACTTTGGTAGACATGCATGGAAATGAGGTCAGTATTTCAAAGATGAAAAAACTCAACAAGATAAATAGACTATGGTGGTGACATTTCAGGAGCTGAAATTGATAGAAATCTTGAACTGTTAGGCGGGGAAAGGTGGAGAGTTGACGCATGATGAAACTTCAATCATCACTGGAGCTTTGGATCTGACTCGGAAAACTGCAAAAGATGCTATGACACCTATATCAGATATATTTTCTCTTGACGTCAATTCTAAACTCGACGAGTATGCTCGCCACTCGTGCCTTGTATCTCCGTAAAATTTTTCTTCTGATATTTCCATCTTTTCTGATCCATGATTTGTTTTTCTCCTCAGAAAAACAATAGGGTTGATAATAAGGAAAGGCCATAGCCGTGTACCGATTTACTCAGGAAATCCGACAAATATTATTGGTCTGATCTTGGTAAGCACATAGAAGCTGGAATTGCTATTTTGGGCTTGAAGAAGAAGCATGCTAACAGTCAACTAAAATATCTGCACAGGTGAAAAATTTAATCCAATGCCGGCCTGAAGATCAAACACCGATAAGAGACCTAACCATCAGGCGAATTCCAAGGTATAGAATTATTTCCTGGCTGTATTTTGGCAGCTTTTTTATATATATTTTGTATGCCACAATCTGTACAAAAATTAATCAGTCTCTCCGTCGAAATCTGTGGCAGGGTCCCTGATCTTTTGCCTCTTTATGATATAATGAATCAATTTCAGAAGGGTCATAGCCACATGGCTGTTGTTGTTAAAAGTAAGAACGATGCCAATGAGACTGCACAGAAATCAAACGCCAAGCCTACCATGTTGGGGATAAAGGGTAGAAGTTTGCTTGGCCTTTCACATATTTTCTATGAACTTGAAACGAAAACTTTTCTTTCTAAGCTTTAAAGTTGTATTTTCAGGAAACATAGGTCATCAGCTTGGTCAGAATGATCAATTCAGCATTTCTATGAACTCACCATCAGTGTATTCCAGTGGCACCGAGATCGAGAGTCCGAAACCGAACAATATCAGGAATCTACGAGACAATCTGCACACGAAATTACAGAATCGAGAATACCAACATGCAAATCTTCCACATGAAGAATTGGAAATTCTTTCAGCTTCAGATGAAGAGGTCATTGGTGTTATAACATTGGAAGATGTTATGGAGGAACTGATTCAGGTGATGACTGAATAATCTGTTACTTAGAACTTTACTCGAATCGCATCAGGACACTCAGCTATGAATACAACATTCAAAACCTTCCGATCATTGAAAAATTCTAAGAACTGTCAGAAAATAATCAATAAGACAGCAGAACTTTGTTGGATAATAGTAAAGTTTTAACATCTTAAGTAACTCTACATTTTTACATGTCTATTTTTTGCAGGAAGAAATATTGGATGAAACTGATGACTATGTAGATGTCCATAACAAGTAATGTCTAATGTCTTTTCTAAGTATATATTGAACTTCAAACTTTTATAAACTACTCCTCAAAAATTCTAACCACTTTGCCATTTTGTTCTTGAAATTAAAGGATCGCAATCAATATGATTCCACCGCGAAGATCGCCATTAAGATCATCACCTGGAGCAGGAATGGCATCACCTGTTTCTTCTTATCATCCAAGTCCACTATCTCTTATTCTGCATTCACCAATACCACCATATGTTCATTCACCAGTTATTAGGCCAACTCTTTCTGCTTCCCCGCCAGCAAAATCTGTTCCAAATTCTCCAGCTTCTCGTACAGGCTCTCCTCGCTATTCATCACCCTCCAGTAAGGTATGCTCAAATATATTTAGTAAATGTTTTTGCTTCTTGATTGTTGCTTTTTATGCTTGCTTCTTTCCTGTTGCTGACAATAGTTTTCTATTGGCAGGTTTCAAGAAAATCATATGAGAAGCTGAGAAGGCCTGAAGGTTTATAGTTTTTGTTAGAAATGGGCTATTGGTGCTGTGATTCTGTAAATTGGGATTATCTAACTGGGCTTCTTTATCACTTCTTTCTTTGATTTTTCAATTAGCACAAAGTGGCAGGATTTGTCTATACTTTATATAAACTTTTCTACCACCATCCATTTCTTTTAATAAACTAGGCCTAGGCCATTGAAATAAGGCCACTACCAATATCAATGAAATTGGGCCTAGGCCTTGGGCCTAGGCCTTGGGCCTACAATAATTTAGTCCAAGAGACATTTAGCCCATGTAGCAAACACTTCATGAAATTATTACAAAGAAAAATGGCTTAAAAAAAATTGTTTTAAGACATCCTGTTCTTTGAAAGGGTTTTGTCTGATAGTAATTTCTATCTCTTAAATATGGCTCAAACTTTTCCTGAACTTTAAATTATTAAAAATCATTTTTTTTTCAATTTTTAATTTTAGATTAGATTTTTTTTATTTATTTTTTATTTGAAAACGGATCTTTCTATTAGAGTTAATTTTAATAATTCTAACGTACATATAAGTATAATTACTTAATTGATAAAAATGTTTTGTTTTTCTTTATAAACTTGTTTTTTCCTCATAAACGCTAAGAAGCAAACAATTAAGGAAAAAAAAACAAGTTTTGAAGTAGGGAAAAAGAAAGCATTTATAAGTTTTTGTTTATTTTTAGCCATTCAGGAAGTTAAATTACCAATCATTAAAAACATGTGGAAGTCACGTTTAGTTCTATCATTAAAATTGACAAAAATCTAATAATAAAACCACATTTCCAAATAAAAAATAGTTTGACAAAAATTCAACGTAGAATTAAAAATTAAAATACTAATTCTCAAATGATTTGAAATTTTTTTTTAAAAAAAAATCTGAATGTTTGACCTTTTCTATCTCTCATCTCTAATCTCAGCCTTGAACTTGAGATAACTCCACTAGTAAGAGCCTAAGAGAGGGAATATCATACAAGATGGGACCTCAGGATTTTCCTCAAAATATCAGAAGATAAATGAAGAAATATCTTTGCAGCCGAGGCACTCCCATCCATTTATTTTTGGATAAGACAATTGACGCTAAGAACATAGCACAAAGAACTGAGCGAGCGTAAAATGAGAAAAAAGTGAAGGTTAATCAAGATCAGAAACCATGAATACTCTCATTTGTTCACAAAAAACACCCCTCTATCTAGCAAAATCTTCACCAATATGGAACCCAGTGGCTCCTGCTATCCTCCCAACAAACATACAGAAAAACCTAAACAATTCGTCCACAACATGGAAGCTACAAGCCAATGCCAAAGGCTTTGCAAGCAGACCAACTTCCCTAAAAGAAAGTAGAATAAAAAAGACTACTACTTCCGACGAGAACAACGGTAGCAACAGTGAAGAAGATCAACTTCCAGAGGAGGTGTCTAATAGGATTATAGTGAGAGTCTTGGTGTCTGTTGGGGCGCCTATGGCACTTGGCTTTGCATCAATGTCTGTGATAGGTTTGGTCATGGAGCAACATGTGTGGAATGTGCCCAAATGGTTCATGTTTTTGACACTTTTCCTTACCTTTGGGGCTTCTGTTTGCGGGATTGCTTATGGAGCTTTATCTACAAGTATGGATCCAAACCAAAAGGGTTCGTTTTTTGGGTTTGAACAAGTCCAGAAGAATTGGGTTGAGATGTGGAAAGAAGAAGATGCAGGCAAGAAATCGTGGGACTGAGAGAAGATATGATCATATGCCTTGCGTGTGCTTTTCTTTCCTTTGTTATTTATTTGTTTTTGTTTTTGTTCTTCCTATTTTGGGAGGAAATGGATTCGTAATAATAGTCTAATAGGTGTTTTAGTTTCTCTATATTTGATTTTTCTTAAACTGCCATAGAGTTAATTGTCCATATATGGCTAATCTTGAAGAAATGAGCTCTTCACTGCAATTCTATCTTTTCTTATTAATCATCTTTTTCATACCTGAATTAGAATTTTATATATAAATATAATACAATTAGGATCATAGTTTTAAATCTCGCATGCAACGAAAAAACAATTATAACCGATATCAAAAATATATTAATAACTGTTAATAAATTTATTATAATTTATATATTTTTAATAATTTTATTAATTAAGTATATAATAACATATAAAACAATAACAGAATTCCTATGATATTGAATATCCGTAACGAAATGTTTTAAAAATGTTATATAACAACTATTATTTGAATTTATGAGTAAAATCACTTCAAACTAGAAGTGGAATTGTTTTTTTTTTTTTTTAAATTTGGTTTGGGATAATTTTGTTTACACGCAAGACTTGCTCATGTTAATTAAGAGATCCAACCTTTTAAAATTTTAAAGGAGAAAAAAAAAAAATTGTCCACGAGTTAAAAAGAAAATCCAAGAAAGACACCAGCCGCTGCAAAGCTCAAATGCTCATCTAATTCTCTATAAGATTGCAGAAATTAATTTAGTTTTTTATTATTATTGGCAAGGTGTAAGATTAATATTTTTATTAATCGCTGTGTTTGAATAATATATAGTATTTTATTTTAATTTTAGGAAAAGATGATATGGAAACATTGATGAGAGTTGACGCCCATTTGTGTTCATCCAAAATCAGACACGACTTTGATTGGAAGACAATCAGAAGAGAATCACGTTTAGTATGTTTTTTTTTTTAATATTTCAATAAATAAAAAAAAGAAAATTTCAAAAATTTCAAAAATATGAAGATGAAAAAGACATAGATACCTCTTAAGAAAGCATATATGTGCGTGTGCATGTGCGAAAACTTCTCCAAAAACACGAACCTAAAGATAGCCTGAATGGAAGACTCTTTCTATTTGAGTTGCCATTGATAGAGAAACTTCAGCACTCCCACCTACAATATTTGGCAATCATAATCCTAAAACGAGCTTTAATTGTTGGAAGAAGACGGCAGAAAAATGCAGTAAAAAACAGCACATTATATTTCATCATGTCTCGTCAATCTACATACGGTCCCAAATCAAAACAAAAGCTTATGGAATCATGACATGGACACATGTATAAAATATTAACCATTGATTAAGACCCTTTAATCATCTAGCTAGTGGAGGACTTTGGTATAACTACGAGTAAATTATAAATTAATTCCTCTAGTTTCAAAAAATATATTAATTAGTCTTTCTTGTTTTAAAAATTATTATTTAGTTTTTTAATCAGTGTTGATTTTGCTTAATTTAATATTATTTTTATTTCATAAAATTTCTTATTTTCTTATCAATTTTTTTTCATATTTTCCCTTTTTTCATTTCTTAAAATAAAAAATTGAAATAAAGTTAAAAAGAGTAGAAAGGATTAAATTATAAATAGATTTCAAAATATAGAGACTAAATAATTATTTTTTAAAAAGGGATTAATTTTTATTTTTTTTAAAAGGACTAGTTTATAATTTACTCGTATAGATACAGAATAATAAAGTTAGTATAAAAATAAATAAATAATAGAAAAAGCATGTGGTTTTTTGACTGCCAGACTTTGTATTCACCACAAGAATTAGCCTCCTAATTGTCCTTGCTTTGGCAAGTATCTATCGTATTACTGTCCCAGAAACAAGATGACAGAAGCAAGTCGACATACGAGATGAGAGAAGCAAGTTTAGCCTGAAACTTATCTTCATCCAAAAAGGTAGAACTTAAAAAATTGGACTTTAATTGCTTGAAAGAGACAATATTTTGTTTAATTTTCTGCCTAGTTGTCGATGATGATTACTACATGTTGATGTAACTCTAAAGATAGGTTTGGTGATTGAAAAAAAAAAAAATTCAAATAATCTAAATTTCTTTTAAATAATCATTTCAGAACGAGTTTTTAATTTGTAATTTCGAATTAGATATTTTTCTAATTATTTTTTATTTAAAATTAGATTTTTTTTATTAGATTTTCATCCATTTTAATTATAAAAATAAAAATAATTTATATGTAGTTGACTTTTTACTCTTTCAACAGTTAAAACTTTCACAAAACTTATAAAAGTCTTACTTCTCCCTCTAAAATTGTTTTTTTTAAATGCTCTTTAATTACTTATTTCTTATCATTTAGGAGGAAAAAAACAAATTTTAAAAGGGTATTTATAAGTTTTGTCATGTTCTTAAGTGTCAAAGAATTACATTTATTCGTTATAATTGATGAAAATTTAACATGATGATTCAATTTTAAATGAAAAATACTTAAAAAAAGGCTCAATCTGAAATTAAAAATTAAAAAATGGTTTAAAGTTTTTAAAAAGTTTAGACTGTTTGGTCTGAAAAAAGGTATGTTCGAACTTTAAAATCAAAGTCCAAGAGAATCAATTTATTAAATACATTATATCGATATAAAATATAGGTTCTTAAAATCATTTTAAAAAAAAACTTAATTTCGACTAATTATATTTCTCCTGATGTCATGTCAATATATATTTAGGCATTGAAAATCAAACAAGTTGTATCTAAAATCACCATCAATTGTTGTAAGGATCAACGATGCCGTGGGGAGGATGACTAGGTAGAGTTTGTTTTGTAGCATAGTGATTTAGACCTTCTCAACCAAGACAAGACTGCCTACAAAAATAATAATAAAACTGGCTTCGTCATCTTTAAATCTTGTGATGGACGATTATTTCTTATTTTTTTATTCAGGGGTTAAAGTAATATTCACTCTGTATCATGCTGCAATCAAATCTATATACAGTAAATTATACATTAGTTTTTCTTTTTTGGTTTTAAAAAATAAATTAAATAATTTTTCTTATTTTAAAAACTAATTAATTAGTTTTTTGAATAATATTGATCGTAGTTAATTTAATATTTTTTTTAAATTTTAATCTATCTTTTTATATTTTTTTACTTATTTTTTTATTTTCTGAAACAAAAAATCAAAATTTATTAAAAAAGAAGGAAAATGATTAGGTTATAAGAAAATTTAAAAATATAAAAAATTAATTATTTAGCTTTTAAAAGCAAAAGAGATTAATTAATTATTTTTCAAAACTAAATGTATCAATTTATAATTTACTCATCAAAGCTACCATCATCATCGATCATCTATTCGATTCAATAAAAAAATAATTATCATGCCATGTTTTATCCCAAAAAAAAAGTCATGAAAGTGTCAATAACATGACTTTCTTGCAATTCAAAACGTAAAGAAAACTCCCCAAAAAAAAAATAAATAAAATAAAGAACATGATTAGTATGGAAAACCGGAAGTCATTGAAATGGGAAAAGGAATCATGACAAAGTAGAATTACATGATAGTTTTTTGAACTTTTTCCAAGAAGATCTCAAAACAACGTAAGCTAGTAAAAAACATGACAATGTTCATCAATCAATATATCCAATCATCTATATCACATTAATTTTCATGTTTCCGTACAGCCCATCAATTTTTTATAATGAATAAATTCGATAAAATTCAAAAAATTCAAATAGAAAATGATAATCATATAGAACTAAGATGAAATATACTGTTCTTGTAATCATTTTCTTTTAGAACACCACAGCATGAACAAATTGACCAATTCATTTATAAAATTAACACTGACCACGCAATTGTACACTCAAATAATGTCAACAAATGTCAAACACAAATTTAAGAGTAAATTATAGATTAATCCCTCCCATTTTGAGGAACGAATTGATTGGAATTATTTAATTATTTTAATCAATGTTGACTACAACTAATTTTATATTTTATATTTTAAAAAATATCTTTTTTAATCTAACCTTTTCATATATTTATTTATTTATTATTTCTTAAAACAAAAATCAAAAATAAATTAAAAAATAACAAAATGAACTAAATAATTAACTTTTAAAATCAAGAAATAATTAATTCATTTCTCAAAATAAATAAAAAAACTAATTTATAATTTATAATTTATTCCACTAAGTTGGCATGACATTCCATATTCAAATACTTAAAAGAAAAAATACTTAACTCAAAACCACTAAAATTATCCATTATTTAAAAATCACTGCGAAATTTTTATACATTATAGTATTCCAAAATAAGACCCACAATTCATTAAATATAAAAACAACGCCACCATCAACTTCTATACAGGTAGCTATATTCTAATAATTAAGTTCTGAAAACACCCGAAATATCCGAAATTCCTATCTATAATCTTTTTCACTTATTTCTTCTTCTGCTGCTGCTTTTCTTTTTGAAAATCTAATTAAGAAATGACACAAGCATTTGGATCCTCCTCAGCAACACTTCTAGGATAATAATATTGCGAGGGCATGTGCTGAGGATGATAGACATACCACTCAGCCATAGCAGCTTGATCTTTCTTCTTCTGATCTTCTTGCTTCTTTGTCTCATCTTTCTTGGGCTCATCTTTTTTCTTTTCAGGCTCTTTTGCTGGTCCTACTGTAATTATTTCGGTGTGACACAACTTTCTCAGTTTGCTCACTATCACCACTGTATCAACATCCCCTATCACTGTCAACTTCTTGTCCTTCATGTCCATGGTTATTGAATCCACCCCTGCAAGTTTCCATCACAAATCATCCCACTTAATTATAACTACAAAGATAAAATCATATCTACTTAAATATGGTAATCTTGATTTATAAGTTAATGATCATGGAGGAAAAAAACATTAAAATTCAATACCTGAAAGACCGGAGACTTTCCTCATGGCCTTTTTCTTGTCTTTATCATCATGCAAATCCAATTTCAACACAGCTTTCTGCAACAAGATAAGGTGAAGGATTAATGGACCAAGGATTATCTCGTAGAAAAATGACAAAAAAAATCAAATTTAAGGCAAGAAAACTATGGGAAAAAAAACAAGTTTTTCATCGAATAAAGTTAAAGAAGAAAGAAAACTTGATTCTTGATTCTTTCATGCATGCATACAAGTGTCTTAACAGCTGCAAATATATATAAAAGGAGAGATAATACTCACCTTCATTTCTATAGCTTAGAGAGATCTGATGATAGAAAACAAATCAGATCAAAGACAGGAAGTAAGAAAATTTGGGGTGAAGAAGAAAGGCAAGAGGAAGAGGGAAGTGAGAAAAACTTGGTGATGAGCTGAAGGGTTCTTGTTGGGGGTTTTATGGTGAGGAAGGGAAAGAGAGATCGGTGTGAGTCAAGCTGAGTTCAGTGGTTTATGGTCAACAATGAACACGCAAATTGGTAGGACCAGCAAAGGAAGGCACGTTGATATTTCCGGAAGTAAATTATAAATTAATCCCTATAGTTTTAAGAAATAAAATATTTAGTCCCTCATTTTTTAAAAACTAATTATTTCGTTTTTTTGTCATTATTTGCTCTTTAACAACTTATTTTATTTTTGTTTTAAAAAATTTAAAAATTTAAAAATATTATAAAATCATTATTTTAAAATAAAATATAATTAAATTAATTATGATTAATATTGGTTAAATAATTAAATAATACGTTTTGAAAAATAAAAGACTAATTTATTTATTTTTTAAAACTAGATGGACTAATTTATAATTTATTCGGTTTGCGTCTGTAAAACGAGACTTCCTTACCAATCATTGCACTTTTCAAATTGGGCTTTCTTAGCCTTTTCCTTTTGAAACAAAAATTAAAAGATACAACTTGGACAGATAAGGAATCATAATAGTATATTAAAAACCAAGGCATGTTTAGGAGGATGAAAACAAAGCTATTTTTCTTATTTTAGGCTAATTTTTTCATAATGTACTTATATAATAAATTAATTTTTTAATCTGTTTTTATATTTTTAATTGAATCAAATCATTCACCTAATTTATAAATAATTATTTTTTATTTTCATAATGTTTTTACAAGCTAAATAAATGAAAGACTTTCATATGAAAACAACGTGACTAAATTTTTATAGTTTTACGTAAAAATTTTATCATAAAAATAAATTAAAAACTTAACATATAATTAATAATAAAAATAAATAAATTAAGAATATAAGAATAAACTGAAAATTACTCACGAATTAAACTACAAGTCATTGAAATGAAAAAAGGAACAATCTTGCTCATTTCATACAAAACAGTAGAATCACATGATAGTTTCTTGAACTTTGTCCAAGAAGATCTCTCGAAACAACACTAGTAAAAAACACCACAATTTTCATCGATCTATATCACATTAATTTTCATATTTCCTTACAGCCAATCAATTTTTTCTAAGAATAAATTCAATCCCAACTTATTCAATTCAAATCTAAGATTCAAAAAAATCAAATAAAAAAGGATACTCTGAATCATATAAAACTATAATTAAGTACACTTCTCTTGTAATCATTTTCTTTCAGAACACCACAACATGAACAAACTGACCAATTCATTGATAAAAGTAACTCTGACCACGCAATTGCATACTCAAATACAAAGTTGCAGTAAATTATAAATTAATCTCTCTCGTTTCGAGAAATAAATAAATAAATTTTTTTATTTTAAAAATTAATTATTTAATTATTTTAATTAATATTGACCGCAATTAATTTAATATTTTTTATTTTATAAAATATCTTCTTTTCTCATATATCTTTTCATATTTTTACTTATTTTTTATTTTTTTATTTTCTTAAAACAAAAAAATTAAAAATAAATAAATAATTATTTTTTGAAATCAAGAAAGCTAATTAATTTGTTTCTCAAAATAAAAGAAACTAATTTATAGGTTATTCTACTAAGTTGACATGACATTCCATATTCAAATACTTCAAAAAAAAAAATACTTAACTCAAAGCCACTAAAATTATCTATTAATTAAAAATTACTGCCAAATTTGTAGACATTATAATATTCCAAAATAAGACCGACAATTCATTAAATATAAAAACAACCCCATCATCAATTTCTATTGAGATAGCTATATTCTAATAATTAAGAACACCCAAAATTTCCAAAATTCCCATCTATAATTTTTTTTTACTTATTTCTTCTTCTTCTTCTTCTTTCTTTTTTGAAAATCTAATTAAGAAATGACACAAGCACAAGCACTTGGACCCTTCTCAGCAGGACTTCTACCATCATTATATCCTGGGGGCAAGCGAGGATAATAGGCATAGCTAGTAGGGAAAGAAGCTTTAACTTCTGGCTCCTTGGGCTCTACTTTTTCTTTTCAGGCTCTTTTGCTGGTCCAACTGTAATTATTTCTGTGTGACACAACTTTCTCAGTTTGCTCACTATCACCACTGTATCAATATCCCCTATCACTGTCATCTTCTTGTCCTTCATGTCCATGGATATTGATTCCACCCCTGTAAGTTTCCATCACAAATCATCCCACTTAATTATAACTACAACGATAAAATCATATCTACTTCAATATGATAATCTTGATCTATAAGTTAATGATCATGGAGGAAAAAAAATTAAAATTCAATACCTGAAAGACCGGAGACTTTCCTCATGGCCTTTTTCTTGTCTTTATCATCACGCAAATCCAATTTCAACACAGCTTTCTGCAACAAGATAAGGCCAAGGATTAATGGGCCAAGGATTATCTCGTAGAAAAATGACAAAAAAATCAAATTTAAGGCAAGAAAACTATGGGAAAAAAAACAAGTTTTTCATCGAATAAAGTTAAAGAAGAAAGAAAACTTGACTCTTGATTGTTTCATGCATGCATGCAAGTGTCTTAACAGCTGAAAATATATGTAAAAGGAGAGATAATACTCACCTTCATTTCCATAGCTTAGAGAGATCTGATGATAGAAAAAAATCAGATCAAAGACAGGAAGTAAGAAAATTTGGGGTGAAGAAGAAAGGCAAGAGGAAGAGGGAAGTGAGGAAAACTTGGTTATGAGCTGAAGGGTTCTTGTGGGGGGTTTAATGGTGAGGAAGGGAACGAGAGATCAGTGTGAGTCAACCTGAGGTCAGTGGTTTATGGTCAATTGATGAACACGCAAATTTGGACCCGTAAAGGAAAGCACGTTGGTGTTTCTGGGAGTAAATTATAAATTAGTCCCTCTAGTTTTAAGAAGTAAAATAATTAGTCTTTCATGTTTTAAAAACTGATTATTTTGTTTTTTCTTGTCATTGCATGCTCTTTTAAAATTTATTTTGTTTTTGTTTTAAAAAATTTAAAATTAAAAAAATATTATAAAATAATGATCTAAAAATAAAATATTTTTAAAATAAAATATAATTAAATTAAGCATGATTAATATTATTTAAAGGATTAAATGATTAATTTAAAAAAGATTAAATAATTTGTTTTTTAAAACTAGATGGACTAATTTATAATTTATTCGTAACGTACGTGTGTACAACAGCACTTTTTCAAATTGGGTTTTTTTTTTCCTTTTCCTTTTGAAAAAAATTCTAACATACATGTATTAGCTATATATCAAATGTGATAGAAATTTTGTATCATTTTTAGAGTACGGCATGGCTTAAGAAAATTGAACAAAAAGATAAAACTTGGGCATAAAAATTAGATAAGAAATTATAATAGTATACTAATAACCAAGAGGTGCTTAGATTTGAGGATAAAAACAAAGATATTTTCTTATTTCTTATTTTAGCCTCATTTTTTTTATTATGTCCTTAAATAATAAACTAATAGATCAATTTGTTTTTATATTTTTAATTGAGTCAAGTTAATCACATGATTTATAGATAATTATTTTTTATTTTCATAATGTTCTTATGAACCAAGCAAATGAAAGACTTTCATATAAAAACCATGTGATTAAATTTTTATAGTTTCACATAAAAATCTTATCATAAAAATAAATTAAAAACTTAAACGTATATTTTATAATAAAATTAACTAAATTAAGGATATAAGAATAGATTAAAAATTATTCTATTATACAAACATAAATTAAACTATCGTACGTTAAAAAAAAGTAGAAAATTGCTCTCCTTCTCATCATCGTGGCTTTGCTGCTGCTAATATCTAGGTCCACATGTTCTTGCAAATAAGACAAATAGAAGACCCCCATTTGAAAAATAGATTAGACACTATAAATTTATGTAGTTTAAAAAATATATTAAAAACTTAATATATATTTAATAATAAATTAACTAAATTAAGGATATAAGAACATATTAAAAAATATTTTATTATATAAAGATAAATAAAACTATCATATATTAAAAAAGTAGAAATTGCTCACTATCTCGTTAACACAGTTTCGTTATTTTCAACATCTATATTCGTTTTTCATAATATTCTTACAAGCTAAATAAATAAATAAAAATTATATGAAAAACACGTGAATAAATTTGCGTAACTTAACCTAAAAATTTTGTCATAAAAAATAGATCGAAAACTTAATACGTATTTAATAATAAAATTAGCTAAAGTAAGGATATAAGAATAAATTAAAAAATACTCTATGATAGAAAGATAAATTAAACTAATATACATTAAAAAAAATAGGAAAAATGCTCTCTTTCTCGTCAACTTGGCTTTCATTAACGCTAACATCTACATGTCATTATATAAGATTATTTTATCCTGCTTACACAATATTTTTGAGCTAATTTGTAAAAACAAAGGATAAACTCATCGATAAAAATTAAACCATCCATGTTGAAATTATAAACTTTATATAAATTTTACTTCTTATAACCTAACTCGAAACCACTAAAATTGTCCATTAAATAAAAATTACTGCCAAATTTTTATACATTATAATATTCCAAAACAAGACCCACAATTCATTAAATATAAAAACAACCCGACCATCAACTTCTATGGAGGTAGCTGTGGTCTAATCATTAAGTTCTGAAAACACCCAAAATTTCCATCTATAATCTTTTTCACTTATTTCTTCCTCTTCGTCTTCTTCTTTCTTTCTTTTTCCTTTTTTCTTTTTTGGAAATCTGGCTAAGAAATTAAGAAATGACACAAGCATTTGGATCCTCCTCAACACTTCTAACATAATAATATTGTGAGGTCATGTGAGGATGATAGCCATAGGGAGGGTAAGCCTTGATCCACAGATCAGCCAGAGCAGCTTGATCTTTCTTCTTCTGATCTTCTTGCTTCTTTGTCTCATCTTTCTTGGGCTCTTCTTTTTTCTTTTCAGGCTCTTTTGCTGGTCCTACTGTAATTATTTCTGTGTGACACAACTTCCTCAGTTTGCTCACTATCACCACTGTATCAACATCCCCTGTCACTGTCAACTTCTGGTCCTTCATGTCCATGGATATTGATTCCACCCCTGCAAATTTCAATCACAAATTATTCCACTTAATTACAACTACAACGATAAAATCATATCTACTTCAATGATAATCTTGATTTATAAGTTAATGATCATGGAAGAAAAGAAAAAAATTAAAATTCAATACCTGAAAGACCAGAGACTTTCCTCATGGCCTTTTTCTTGTCTTTATCATCATGCAAATCCAATTTCAACACAGCTTTCTGCAACAAGATAAGGTCACGGGTTAATGGACCAAGAATTATCTCATAGAAAAATGAAAAAAAAATCAAATTTAAGGCAAAAAAACAACTATGGGAAAAAAGCAAGTTTTTCATCAAATAAAGATAAAGAAGAAAGAAAACTTGACTCTAGCTCGATTCTTTCATGCATGGATACAAGTCTCTAGCAGCTGAAAATATATAAAAAGAGAGATAATTCTCACCTTCATTTCTATAGCTTCGAGAGATCTGATGACAGAAAAATTTCAGATCGAAGACAGGAAGTAGGAAAATTTGAGGTGAAGAAGAAAGGCAAGAGGAGGAAGAAGTGAGAAAAACTTGGTGATGAGCTGAAGGGTTCTTGTTGTGGGGTTTTATGGTGAGGAAGGGAAGGAGAAATCACTGTGAGTCAACCCCAGGTCAGTGGTTTATGGTCAATGAACGCAAATGGGTAGGAAAGCACGTTGGTGTTTCCGGAAGTAAATTATAAATTAGTCCCTTCAGTTTTCAGAAATAAATTAATTAATCCTTTATGTTTTAAAAACTAATTACTTCGTTTTTTGTCGTTATATGCTTTTTTATATATATTTTTTAAAAAAAGTTAAAAAATATAAAATATTATAAATAATAATATAAAAAATATTTTTAAAATATAAAAAAATTAAATTAAGCATGATTAATAGTGGTTAAAGGATTAAATAATTAATTTTTGAAAAAAAATACTAAATAATTTTTTTAAAAAATAGATGGACTAATTTATAATTTATTCGTGTTACGTGCGTACGACGAGACTTCCTTTCCAATAATTGCACTTTTTCAAATTGGGCTTTCTTGGCCCTTTCCTTTTGAAAAAAATTATAACATACATTTATTAGTTATATATCAAATGTGATAAAAATTTTGTATCATTTTTAGAGTCGGGCATGGCTTAAGAAAATTGAACAAAAAGATGCAACTTGGACATAAAAATTAGATAAGAAATTATAATAATATATGAATCACCAAGACATGTTTAGATTTGAAGATAAAAAACAAAGCTATTTTCTTATTTTAGCCTCATTTTTTTCATTATGTCCTTATATAATAAATTAACTTATCAATTTTTTTCTTATATTTTTAATTGAGTCAAATTAATCACGCGATCCGCATATAGTTATTTTTTATTTTCATAATGTTCTTATAAGCCAAACAAATGAAAGACTTTCATATGAAAACCATGTGATTAAAGTTTTGTAGTTTCATGTAAAAATCTTGTCATAAAAACAAATTAAAATCTTAATGCATATTTAATAATAAAATTAATTAAATTAAGGATTGTCACGACTTCGGAAGTGGACCATGACCGTCACGAGGATTGAAGGGATAATAAGGCCCATCTCGACCCAAGCAACCTCCGGATACTAAACTAAAATCCTCGACTCACTATTAGAGTTATACTATAGTCTTCAAATCAATATCATTTTAATTAACATTAACCCAACTTAATAATAATTTCTTACAACCTCAATACAACTCATAATTCAACATTCGTAATCAATTCCTAATACATTACCTATAATTATAATCGTAGAACTTCCAAGATTTACGGTTAAAATAAACATAGATTCTAAAAAATTACAATTAAAATAAGTCATATGATCAAAGTGTCGATTTTAAGACAAGTAGTACGAAAGGAAGCAAAAGGACAATCCCGCAATATCTTGTAAAGCTGAAATAATGAGGGGTGAGTAATCGACGACTCGGTACGTAGACATTATATAATATACTAAGGGAGGGAAAGGATCGAGGACGATACTTTCAAATTCAACTCAACATGTCATGTTAGTTTCTTCAAAGCACATAAACATTAAAAAAAAATCATGTATTACAATTTAAATGATTTAAAACCATTTCGTATCAAATCATTGAATCATTCATACGTATATATATCGTAGTCATACGAAATCACATATATAGTTTTTTATACACCGTGGGGTAATAACGTATTATTGGGTGTGAACACCTAAAGGTGGAGCCCCCCATGACTAGGTTTTCTTATGTTAGCCAACACATGGGCTAGCATTATACCCCTCCGGCTAGCTAGAGCCTCGTATCATGGAGCTCAAAGGTCGCGCCCTCCGTAGCTAGGTTTCCGAGGATCTCAAAAACATTTTTGAAAATCGAACATACTTGTACGCTTTTCAAACGGACATTTCAAATACCATGCATGTATGCATTTTCAGAAATTCTATAGATAATCAAAATAATGATTATAACACATCAATCAAATGCGAAATCACATATCAAATCCAATAACACATTTGTTCAAACACACATTCAAACCCATTTTCAATTCATATCAAATCATTTTGATACGAAATCATTTCAAAAGTTATGGAGTGTGTTCCCATTTAAGTTCTAATGGAATGCTTCTAAATCATTCCTAACTCAATGATGCATCACTATAACAAAAAGATGGATTTGCGATGGGCATTTAGCGACGGTCAATAAACGATTGCTAATTTTCAAAATTTGTAACGGTTTTAAGCGATTTAGTGACGGTCCAAAAAATGGTTACTAAAATTCTCATTTGCAATCGTTTTTTTGCAATGGTCTAACCAAACCATTGTTAACTTCACCGGTTTAATTTTTTCCCCATATGCTGATCATTTTTGCAATGGTTTTTATGAAAAAAATCATTGCAAGTTTAGCGAAGGTCTCAAAATCATCGCTAAAGCTGTTTCTAATGCGAGAAAAAATTAAAAAACAACAATAAGGATGATTAGCAATGGCTTTTTAATAAAAAATCATTTCAAAAAAATAATTCGATCTAACAACGGTCTTGGACCGTCGCTAAACCCTTGCTAAACTTAAAAAATAGATTAGCAACGGTTTTTTGGTAAAAAACCGTTGCAAAAAAACCTATGTTTAGCGACGGTCTATAGACTGTCGCTAAACCGTTTCTAAAATGAGATTATTTGAAAAAAAAACATTTACGATTACCAACGATTTTTAAATAAAAGCTGTTGTAAAAATATTCGTTTAGCAACGATCTATAAACCGTCGCTAAACTATTTCTAAAATCGGAAGAATGGGAAAGAAAATTTTCGATCAGCAATGATTTTTTAATAAAAAACTATTGTAAAATAACTAGGTTTAGCGATGGTCTTGGACCGTCGCTAAACCCTTGCTAAAAAAATAATAAAAAATAAATAATCATTAAAACCAATTTTTGCAACGATTTTTTTCAAAAATAATCGTTGCAAAAATAATATCTTAGCGACGGTCCGAAAACCATCGATAATCCGTCAATAAAATCAAACTGTTGGTGAAAAACGGTTAAATTTTGATTTCAAAAAGACTATTAGTGATGGGTTTAACGACGAGCGCAAACCGTCGCTAAACCTTTTCCTTTTAAAGTCGCCCTTCTCCCCGAGAATTGGCGGTTTCAATTCCCTCTCCACCTCCTCTCTTCTTCTCCTTCGACAAGCACTCGGATCTGCTTCCTCTGCCATTTTCTCCATCCAATCTTCTCCTCTCTTTCCTCATAACATTTCTCCCCTCAAAAAATCCTCCTTTCTTCCCTCTTTTCCTCCTCCTTTCTTTCTTTCTCTCCATCTCTTCGTCGGTTGTTTTCGGGCCAAACAACTCCAACGAATGCTTCCCCAGTGCAGCCCCTCTCCTCCTTCTCTTGGTGAAAGGTCTACCCCAATCTAACCCCTCCTTTTAATTTTTAACTTTTTCAGTTATTTAGTTAATTAAAATAATTTAATTAAATATTATTAATTTGTTAGTTTAATTACTTATAATTGTTAGTTTAATTACTTATAATCGTTTATTGCATGTGTTATTTTTTTATTAATTGATGATTTAATTAATATTTTTGTAATGTGTTAATTTAGATAGTTTATTTGTTTAAATAAATATATTGGTATTAATTAATGTTAATTGTGATAGTTAATTTAAATGTTTAATTGTTAATTTACTATTAATTGTTAATTGTTTTGCTAATGTTGTTGTTAATTCTTGATTAATTGAATATTATTGTTAATTGTTAATTTTATTGTTATTGTTATTTTTAATAGTTGATTGTACTAATTTGATTGTTAATTATTTTAGTTGAAAAATTTAATTGTTATTATTTTATGTTGTTACTTTAATTATTATTGTTATTAGTGTTATTGGTAATTGCTAATTTAGTTAACTTATTGTGATTAAGTGATTAAAAAATTAATAAGTTATTAAGTTTATTTAGTAGTTCATTAAGTTAAGGTATTAGGTAATTACAAAATTAATCAATAAATTAAATTGTAATATATTGTTATTTAATAAATTTTAAATTTATTAGTAATTAAGCTTATTTAGTTGTTCATTAAGTTAAATAGTTAAGTAATTACAATAATATTAATTAAGAAGAAAAAATATCAAAAAATATCTTTTTTTCGAAATTATTTTCAATAGATAAAAAATTAAGTTATTAGAAATATTTGAAATGCTTATTAATTAAAAAAATAAGTTCATTAAACAAATGAATATATACTTGTTGAATATAGATTTAGTACATCATTAAAAAAAATAATAAGTTATTAAGGTTATTTAATAGTTTATTAATTAAGTTAAGGTGTTAATTAAGTAATTACAAATATAATAAACTATTAAATATTAATTTATTTAGTAAATTTATATTTTATTAGTAATTAAGCTTATTTAGTTTATCATTAAGTTAGATAGTTAAGTAATTACAATATTCATTAAGAAGAAAAAAATTAAGTTTTTTCGAAATTATATTTAATAGATAAAAAATTAAATTATTAGAAAAATTTTAAATGGTTAGTAATTGAAAAAATAAGTTGTATTAAAAAAATTAATATATACTTGTTGAATTTAGATTTAGTACGTAATTAAAAAAATTAATAAGTGATTAAGGTTATTTAGTTGTTCATTAAGTTAAAGTATTAATTAAGTAGTTATGAATTTAATTAATTGAATTAAATATTATTTGAATTGTAATATATATTAATTTATTAAATTTAAAATTTATTAGTAATTAACCTTATTTAGTTGTTCATTAACATAAATAGTTAATTAATTACAATATTAATTATTTAAAAAAAATAAGTTTTTTCGAAATTAAATTAAGTACATAAAAAATTTAGTTATTACAAATATTTTAAATGTTTACTCGTTAAAAAAAATAACTATTATCTAAAAAATAAAAAAAATTGTGAGATTTATTAATAAAGGTTTTTTA